GCCACCATGGGACGGCGTTGTATCCCTGAGTCCGGGCTCTTCTTACGCGCCAAAGAAGAGTCAGAGATCACTTCGAGCAAGTCTGCTACGTCCAGAGCTATTTCAAAGACCAGGGAGGCCTGGCAGTGTATACTTTCGATTTCTTTTTTACTGGCATTGATTACTATATTGATCCAAAGAAACATATATTAAATTAGCAGATCTGTAACTGACTTTGTGTGGCCTTCTATTTAGGGCCGTTTTTGTGTGGTTTTCTCTTCTCTTTTTTAAAACTGGCATTGATACTGTATTGATCCAAAGAATGACAAGAATAACATATAATCAAATAAAAACAATTAACACATTAAATAATAATATTAGTATTAGCAGATTTGTAGCCAACCCCCCCCGCCCCCGGTTCAGGACAAATGAGCTCCTTTTCAGGTAAGTCGAACGCCCACGTCTTCGAGGTCCAGGCAAAACCCAGGAAAAGTGGAACGGGAAGACCGAACGGAAGTCCACGCACCGCACAGGGTGGATCGTCTGGGACTTGCTGTTCCGTGGTCGTTCCCTGGTCCTCCTTGTCGCATGTCCTCGCATGTCCTCGGCGCTGCTCTGCTCTGCTAAGGAGCTCCTGGCCTCTTATTGGCCTCAAGTCTTGCTAGGAGTTGGTGCCGTGGCATCTGTCTCGGTCCTTCAGTATGGAGGGATCTCTTGGCACTTGGTGTCTCTGAAGAAGAAGGGCTTATCAAGTGGCTCGCCATTAGCTGCTGAGGTCATCACATTATGTTTTTAAAATCTCGATGTCCTCCCAACTGGCGCGACATTTGTCAACAGAATACCCTGGAAGGTCCTGTGAGTTTGGCTCATAGTGTCTCATAATGTCTCACAAAGTTCTTTCCAGCCAGCAGCTTCTGAAAAAGACTTAGATCCTGCAAACCAATCATTCGGTCTCTACAAGAAGCTTCAAAGACACACCATCGGTTCCCAGGCGTCCCAAACAACGATTTAAACTAATTATTAAACATATCCCGCATCAGGGACACTGCCACTCCAAGGGTTTTCTTGTGTGGTACAATCTTTCTCGGTACCACACTACCAAGGTCAGGCACGCATTGCCTGCGCGGCAGGCGCCAACGCGTTGACCGTCGGCTTGGCGCCCCTGGTGGGTTGGCTGGGCGACCGACAGGGCGCTGCATGGGTGATGATGGTCACCAGTGCGATGATGGCTCTTCTGGGGATGCCACTACTGCTGGCCATGGAGCGTGATGGGTGGGGAGGGTGGCGTCACCGTCCGCAATGCACGTCCTTGCTCCTAGTAGGGTGGGGAGACCTGTGGAGAGAATTCGCAGATGTTGGAAGGGGTGAGATGTCGCCTCCGCCGCTTGAGCCGCCTCGCTCCATGCTTTTACCAGAGCTCCTAGTGGACCTGCGGAGCTCCGACACCTCCAGGTCCACCACAGCACCGCTCCGCCCGCAGGATGCCGCGGTGGAGCAGCCTGAAGTGGAGATCGGCCTCTTTACGATCGCCTTTGGCATCCTGGGCGCCTTAGAGATGTGCCACTTCTTGCAGGCGCCATCTACGTGCCGTGTGCGGCGGCGAAAGCAGAGAAAGGAGCCCCCCCGAGGTCACTATGGTGTGGGGAACTGGTGGGAAAGCGTACTACCCCCGGTAACAAAACAAAGAGACTCTTGGATCTCAAGGGTGAAACAAACTGAACACGGCTCCCAAGCTGCCTTGCCTCATGGTGGTCCAATGGAGGACATATTCGCTACTGGATGCTATCGGTGGGGGTGGGATCCAATAATAATGTTTGCGTTAAGTTTTCTTGAGAAATGCTGGGTGTACTGTAACGGTATCGCCTGATTCTTTTTTTGCGTTGTGGTTATCAAGCAGCAGAATAGGAATCAATACGAAGCACGTCCACTTTTTAACCTGTACGAAACACGTCCGGCGTGGCAGTTCCTTTCGTTTCGTCTCCGTCGACCGAGATCCACAGGTGGTGGAGCTCTTCCCCGTGGACGTGCGCAATGCCGGGGTCGGGCTCAGCTCCCCGGACGCCCAGCTCCCCTCGTGATTCGTGGGTGAAAGGTGTACTCCCTGGTCATCCAGGTCATGCATGGTGGAAAACATCCATTTTTGATGAGGATGAGGTGTGATTTTGTCTCTTTGATGAATCCCCGAAGATCTTTCCTGGTTTATAATATAATTGCATTGGTTTTATTTACTTTATGTCCGTATAATGTTCCATTAACAATCATTTATGTAATGTATGCAGTGGAAGTAACCCTGGAGTAGTACGTTTACCACAAATATTTTGAGCATGTTCTTCTTCAGGTTCTTTGAGCAAATCCCAGTCGTGCTCAGTGTTCTTTGGAGTCACATGTCGGGGTGGTTTTTTAGACGTTTTTAGTCACTAAGCTAAGAGGATGTGGCTTCTGGGCACCCCGAGGAAGTCCTTTGTTCGTTCGACACCCCAACATGGAACTACTGGTCTTTGGATGTTCCTCTACGGTGGTTTGTTCATCCACTTCCATGCTGGAAAAAAAGACGGTATCTCGTGGAGACGTCTCGAAACAGAAGCAGTGCCACTGGCAGCCTTGGCAGCCTGCAGGGTCTTGGCCGGCCGGAAATATCAACTCGAGTCTAAATGAAGATGGCCTATATCAAGTCGAGTCTAAATGAAGATGGCCTGTGCACTCTTCGGTGGAAACCACATCACAAAACATCACTGTAAGTATCACTGTAATTTATTGACAATGGGTGGACACTTAATAAATTCATGCTCATATTCTGTCTTGGAGTATGCTCCAATCACCCTTGCAGTTTTCTCCCAAGCATGAATCATAGCTACAATTTTGCATCGATTCCACAAGCGAACTCTGATCCAACCACAACCAAATACACAAACCTTCCTGCAAACCATGGAAACCAAGTCCGAAGCCCAGAAACAGTTCTGGTTGAAACCCAAGCCTGGACGCCAGCTTGAGATCCTGACCACAGGACGGCTCAGGGCGGTTGGGTGACTGGGGAGTTCCATGCAATGGCCATTGGCCTTCACTGTTTCGGACGTGACTAGGACGGTTGGGTGTCCCCAGGTACCTATCATGGCGCCAGATCTTTCTCTCATGGCTATTCAAAGTGATGCACCTGTTTGGGAGGTGATATTATCAGAATTGGTTTAAAGGAACATTTACAGGAAACCCATAGTTTCGGTGGTGAAATAATGAGTATATATAGTATATATAGTACAGAGTAATACAACCTATACTGTATGACATGTATATAGATAGAGACATCAGCTATATTCTCTTAAGGTCTCTACAACACTCAACTGTTCCTTTGAACTGAGGCTACAACCTTGGCGTTTGCCTCTTCGGCGGCTTTGCCCCCATGGCCTTCGAGGCCGCCGCGGCCACACCTGGCTGCGGCACCTGGCTGCCGGCAGCGCTCTTCGCGGCGGGAGGCACGGACGGGCACTGACGGACGTCACACGCCTTCTGTTTGTTGAAGAGACCCCACCGAACAGTGCACCCCCTCTTCCTTTGGGGATTTCGGGGCGGGCCATCCATTTCCTCGATTGGATAGAGAGAACCGCCTTCCGAATGTGCGGTTCTCAAATGATTTGGAGCCTGGGGTCATGTCAGGGTCCAGGTAAATCCAACACCTAGTGCTGAAAGAGCACCAACCCAAGATCCCACAAGTGGTGTCCTTTGGTGGTGAAAGGATGCGAAAGGCCCTGGGTTTAGAGCGGTCTTTTGGGTGATGTTGATTTTCCCGAACGGGGTCAATGCTCTTTGGGGAAGATACAATGTGTTTTGTGTTTTTGTTTTTCCCGGCTTCCTGGACAGGACAATGTCCAAGAGGAACCAATAACTTGTTCATGGTCCAGACATGGAGCCCCCCCCAAGAGCTAAATATATTTACCAAAAGGGATATTGACATGTTGTTCGAGGGATTTTTGGCAGGGAATTTGTGATGCTGAACACCGGGGTAGATGATAAAGGCGCCCCCGACCTCGAGGTGAGTGGTTGCCCAAAGGAACCTTAAGTCACCTTAAGTCCTTGGGGGTTGTGCCACTTTGCATGGTGTGCAGTAGTCAACCTACAGGTCCACGAACAAAGTATTCAGAATCGCTCTCGTCTTTCGAGAATGCAGAGCACCCCCCCGGGTAGAGCAAGTCTTCATCTCTGAGCCCCGCCGTACGTGGCAAGCTCGTCAGCTCGTCCGACCAATCTGAAGGCCTGATTACGGCCACGGCTACTCTGGCAAGTCTTTGCCTTCAATCTAAAGGCAAGATCCAATTGACGCATGTGAGGCATGAGCCGTACTTCCGATGTTGGGGCCGAGAAAGGTTCCAATGTGGACCAAGGCCAAAAGAGCCTGCAGGTCTTGATGAGGGAGAGGACGTTCCTCAAAAGGAGGAATTCCGATCGGTTGTGCAACTTTAACACAACTGAGTCTGAGTCTGACAGATGGTTTTAAACCGCAGAAACAATATTATCGCTGATGGGGGATGATGGAAGCGATATATTTATTTGTATACTGCATGTTGCGAACGTTCCTTCCTTCAGCCATCCAGGCCAGCAGGAATATCAGGACACGTTCTGTGCGTTATCCATGCGTGCACAGATGCATCAAATATGAATCGAACCAATCTGGATTTTTATGGGTCGAATCAGACATCAATCAACTCTGTAGTCTCGTGCCTAAAGCGAATCGTTTTGATTGACGGGTCAGTTCGCCGCTCCCTGAACGTTGGAGGTGAATTTGAGACAGAACATCAACATCTATAGAGTGTCTTTTAGGAAGACAAGCTTGGTCTGGTAATGCTTGGTATACATACCTAAAGAGTCCTATAGATTTTCCAATGATGCATATGTTTTTTTGGCTTTTTCGTTTGTAAAACCCAGCAACAAGGCAGAACTTTTGCATATAGTTGGAACATCTAGGTATATTTACTTCTTGGGATTCTTCCGCTTTTCCAGGCATGCTAGGGGGAAAAGCACTTCCATCTCAGGTCATTAAGAAGGACAAAGCGCCAGGCTCCAAGGCGTCGAGCGGGACTTGTTTCTTGGGATGTTCAGTCCCTAACAATGCATGGGACCGGAACCCTTGCCGATCAGTTGGCGTGATTGAAGATGTTTTAAGGGTCAATGGCCCATGTAGGTAAGTGGCCATGGATTGTAGGTAATTGCTCAATGTTCCGTGGATGGTTCGTGGTTTTAAGGTTCAATATATAGCCACATATAACAGGGGTCAATGGCCATGACCAAAGGGTCAGTTGGGGTGATTTGATGCTTTTAGGATATTCTCGGTCTTTTGCCTGAAGCTCACCGGCTATGTTTGGACCCATGGCCATAAAAGAGGGAGAGAGAGACAGTGCATCATTCTGGCCATTTGCACCTTTGCGTTCCCGTTTTCAGTGGTCATACTTCACAGGTTGATGGTGTCATGACTCTATGGCTAGGACGACTAGGACCTAGTTTTGAACTGGTCCTGACTCCACTGAATACTGGTGAAACCGGGTGAAACCGAAACCGGATGCCCGTCTCTCCCACACCGGACTTGACGTCGCCACAGTGGAGTGATCCTGATCGAGCACTCGCATCCGACCGGAAGACCCGACTGACCCATATGACCATCAAGAAAACATCACAATTGAACTTGAACCGCAGTTGAAGCGCATAAACTATAAAGTATAGTATACTGTATACTATGAAACCCACTATAAACTATATAGTACATATTTTTTTTTTCATTTCATTCAAGGCTTTCAGAGGTCTAAGACCGCAAGCGTGAAAAACATGCATGAGTTCAATCCATCTCCGCAAGGTCATAGTGACCTCGCGCAAAGTCCGGCTGCATCTCACCAGTCTGGTCCGAGTAGACGGCCAACTTTGCAAACTCCTCAGCCACTATGGTCCGGGAGGCCACATCGTCAAACCAGCAAGCTCGTAAACGATCACGTATCGTCAACACATGACAGGCAGCAAATGCTCCATTCAACGCTGGTGGATACTCCTTCGCCGCAGAGGTTTTCCAAGCCCCTGTGGAGTCCTTCCCAGAGAGCACAATAAGCTGCTTCCAGTCAACATGTATTTGGTATGGCTTGCACAGCATGGTAAACCGAGGAATATGAGAAACCATCAAGTGGGTCGGCTTTGCGGCCGGCGACCCGAACTTGGCCTGCCAAACGAAGTGCCGTTGAACATGAGCATGTTGAAGCATGGTTTGTACCCAAGGCAATCGCCAAATGGAAGCTCGGGACGAAATCTTGGGCTCACGCGGGTGCTCCAAAATACTCGGGATCCCTGCAAGGGTAGCAGCCATAAACAGGCGCAGCGACACAAAAAGGAGATAACTAGAGATCCAGAGCTGTTGGAGCTCACTCTGCACCAAACCCTCCAAGCCAAAAGGATGCAAATGGTCTCGAAGTGGTCTGACTTCTCCTGGTAGATGTCTCGCTTCACTCCAAGTTTCGCAAGGAGGCGCTACCAGCAAGGCCACAACAGCACGTTGAGTGATCCACCGCAAAAGTTGGTGAACCAACTGTGGCTTGGTGACGTCGTGGGTGTCACTCAAAGCTAAATCCAACATCAACACATGGCCCTGAATATCATCATACTGGCCTAAAAGCTTTTCAACTTGGGATTGATAGTCCCCTGGTCGCCTTCTCCCAGAAAAAAACATACAAAAAGATGCGAAAACTGAAAAAGGGTCGAGGCACAAACGGGGGCCAGGTCCACTTGGTCCTCCTTTCGAGTTGCACCAGACCAGCAAGACGTGCTGGCACCCAGGTGTCATCCCATAGATCGGACTCTGCAGTGGGCAGCTGAAAGTCTCCAGCACCATCTGGAGCCACGGGCCAGAGTTGAAGGGCCGGCATCAGTGCACGAAACGTATCATGCGACACATTCCATGGTGTGAGCGGTTGATGCAGCAAATCATTGTCCTGCCATAACAGAAACGCTTCGTGAAGACGCCGCTGCTGATCAATAATGAACCAATTGACAGCTGCATCCGTTGGAAGCAAATGGTCAATCAGCTGTTGAACGTATACTCCATGAAATGGCTTGGCGCTCAAAGCGTTTAACACTCCAGAGAAATCATCGGCCTCCAGCGAGTTTCGAATGGAAGCAATCCAAGGTGCCAAGTCTCCAGGGAGCAAAGGTTCACATGGACGAGTATCACGTCCTGCCTGAGAGCATGCAACAGTCCATGGCCAAGCACGTAGCGGTCCAAATGCACGACTCGGTGGCCAACGATGGCGTCCACGCCGCAATTGGCGTTTGGTGGCAAGTCGAGAATTGGCAATGTCCTGGTGGACAGCATCGAGCTGGGCATTGTCTAAGGGCGGGACTAAGGTGATTAACTTAAGCAAACAGCCAGTACGAAAGTACTTGAGGTGATGCAACACAGAATCCCTGTGGTCATAAATGCGAAGGCAAGCACGGCAGACATTCGAGCTGGTATAGCGCTGGGCCAAATTCACCGCTCGATGTTTCTGAAATGCGTGAGCACCCATGGCACGCAGGGACTCAAACGTCTTTCCACACTCAGGACATGCGAAGGTGTGGTCAAGGTGCATAGGTTCAGGAGGCTGGACCCGAACAACACCCAGCGCAGCAGCTTCATTGTTGAAGTCCTGAAGGAATTGACGAAAGCTTTTCCAAAGTTGCAAATAGCTCAAGTACTGACGCTGTGCCTGACGGTAAAGCTTAGTAAACACTCGAGGCGAACGCATGCTGTGGGCGGCAGCCTGCTGCATATCGGGGGAAAGCACGGCCTGTATGGTCGAATCAGGTTGCAGTCTGAGGAGACATTGAACATCGGCCTGAACACGAGGCAACCAACTGGCAGGACCGTGCAAGCTTTGGAGAACAGCAAACAACGCTTCCATGGTGTCGATTTGGCACAACCGATCAAAAAGGCTGAGTCGAGACTTCATGAGCAGCATCATGGGCGGAACATGGCCACAATCGGCCAATATGTCCAAAGTTCGAGTACCAGGCCCACGGCGCACTGTGGGAGCAATCCGGGCCAGCATACGCATCAGGCCACGGTGCCAGGAACGAAGGGTTTGGACATGCATCGACATCCAAGCTCCAGCCCCGTACATCAAACGACTGAGCACTAGGGACTGAAAAAGGTTGAACTTGGTCTTGGCAGGCATATATGGCGAACGAAACACATTGCGAGTCAGCATCTTCATGGCAGGCAGTGCCAACATGAACCTACGATGGACCTCAGCGGCAGGATGTCCTTTGAGATCCTGAAGCGAACCCAGATAAATATAATCTGGGAGGACAACAACACGGGCTTGTTCAGGACAGACCATGACCGGACATCGAAATGCAATCGAGGAGGCATGTGGTTCCGCAAGGATCGAATGCCATGTTTGGTGTGCATTGGCTCCCCTCAGGGCAAGAACAACAGACGTCTTGTCAGGCTGAAGGTTCAGCTTGAGACCAAACTGGGCAGCTGTACGATAGGCAATTGCCACAAGATCAGAAGCGCTCTGCAACATGCGAGCCGGCTCGGGGTCTTCAGCTAACAACACCAAGTCATCGACCCAGGAGGCATGAGTGAGCTGAACGAAGCTGTCTGCTTCATGTGACAAATCAGCACCAGGCACCCAATCAAGGCGAAGAACAGAGGCATGGCCTGCCTCAACGAGCCTAGAATGGAGCTCTTTAGTGAAGCGAACCATCAAAAAACCATACAGCAAATCTGCAAGCGAATCACCAGGGCGGGTGCCGGTGATGGTGGATGTAAGGCTAGACTCGTGATTCTTGAGCATGAACCAGGTGGTCGAGAGCACGGCTTGGAGCTGTGCCTGAAGCAAATCAGGTACTTGTGCTTGCACCAACGCAGGATCGGCATCAAGAAATTGTCGAAACTCTGTGAGCAAATCAGGCGACCAACCATTGGCCTGAAAGAGCCCAACAAGATACTCATCAGAGACGGACTGCTTGAGAATTAGTGGGCGCAAGGCCCGGTAAAAGGCCTGCTGAACATCAATGAAGACAGCGAGGGCACAAAACTTTTTCTGTTTGGCTCGGAGGGCAAATGCATTGACAAACAGATGCAGCATGTCAGTGCTAAGTTTGGGAACACCTCCAGCGTGCATGGCATCACGATATCTGAGAAAAAACGGCAAAAGCCTGGCTCTCAAATTGCCATGGGCCACTTTTGACATGTAGGTGGAGAGAACAATCGAACGAAATTTATCGGCCTGATAGGAGATGTTGTGCGTCTTGGGTAGAGCAACGATCTCCCCACCCCGCCAAATGAGCGGTTCAGTGCAGCGAATGGCGCATTTGGCAAGCAAGGGCCAAAGGCATTGAGCAAACAAGGGAGGATGGAGCCGAAACAGTTCAGCGGGCAGGCCATCCAATCCTGGTGCTTTGCCAAGTTTGGCTTTCAGTAGTAAATCCTCAAGATCACCCAAGGTCGGAATCTGGCGTCGGTCAAACGGCAGTTGACCAGGAGGATATTGAACAGTTTGGAGCTGGGCCAGTTCCTGGAGCTGAGGGGTGGTTACAGATATCCCACCCTCAGGCTGTGCGAAGAAACTTCGCCATCGTTCTTGAGCGGATGCCGAATCAGGAGCAAATGTGCCGTCCTCTAAGAGCACAGCTGGCAACGGGGAGAACTGTCGACGGGCTTGACGATGCTCCTGGCCAAGAAGAGGTCGAAGGGCGCGATGCACCTCCTTGGCTTGTTGAGTTTGAGCTGCGTGCAAAAACCGGGTACTAATGACTTCGGCTTCGGCAACACGGTCCATCTTGCTAAGAAACCGGGCAGGTTCATGCAGCCTCCTACGACCAAGCAGAGCCCACAATGCATGTCGTCGAAGCAAAGAAATGTGGCGTACGGCATGGTCAAAAATGGACTGAACACTCACAGAGGTGGCAGTCCGGCATCCGTCACGGGATGCTGGACTCAACCTCGCAGGTGGACGTGAACACATGGCATGCCACATGTGCAAAAAACATCGTTGATACATGCGAACAATGTGGGTCTGCAATCGGCGGTGCATACGAAACAGACATTGACGAGTCTGGATAACCTGCCAAGTGGTGTCACTTAGATATCGTTGCCGAGGCAGTTTGCGGTCCTGCTTAAAAACCCTGGCAGCAGTTTGGATGTAAGTAGTCAATTGCTCGAGGTGCACACCTACTCCCAATCCCCAAGAAAAGGAAGGCATACAACGAATTTGCTGCAGAAAAGTGGCTTGTTTGCCGGCGTCTGCAATCTTACGAACATCTAGCTGCAAACTAGGTTTGGCGACACAAGAGGACCTACGCGGTTGCATACAAACTCGAACCATCGGCACGAAATGATCATGTTTACAAATGGCAAGGTCAATTTGGTCAGACACCCAGGAATGCACCTGAAACGATCGCCAAGCCTGTGGCAAGCACACGTAATCAATGCGTGATTCATGGCCTGAGGTGCTAACGAACGTGGTGGCCGGACCAGAATGACATGTAGCAAATGTGGAGGGCAACCACATCCTATGTTCACACATGAATTGATGAACAACGCGGCCAGTGGCCGATTCCTTTTCGGCTTGATGGGACGAAATCGCAGCACTGATCTCGGACCCAACATGGGCATTGAGATCTCCTAGAATAATCAGAGGTATGCTTTGCGGCGATCTCTCAAGCATGTAGGCAAGGTCTTGCCACCACGATGCACAATCTATCCCACTAGATTGATATGGAGCATGGACCGTGAGGACACGAATATGCAGGCTGGGAGCCTGTATGAGCACAAGGATATGCCGAGAACTCATCGAAACAACATGGACATGCGAGGCAGCAAAACAGAATTTTTGAGTTCCAGAGGTTGCATAGGGAACGTTGCGACTAACCCACAATTCGCAACCATGACTGCCATCTGAGTCTGCACCGGACTGGAATACAAAGTGACTAGCACTATGTCGTGTAGCTGCCTGCTGTGTACGGCATTCTTGCAGGCCGACAATTAAACAGTTGGCATGATCAAATTGCGCCTGCAGTGATGCGATTCTTCCCTTTAAATATAATCCATGAGCTTGACGAGACTTACTTCCTGGCTCAAGCGTGAGCACATTGGCACTGGCAAAGACAAGGTTGAGATGGACCGGTAACGAATGGCTTCGATTGGCACCTAAAGACTTTGCACAGCTGGGCGTGACTGTTTGCGGCCAATGCGATTCTGGACGGTGCCCCCAAAAAGGCCCCTCAGCTTCAAAAACAGCTCTCAAGCACTTCCAATATGGGTGGGATGCACTCGGAGCTTGGGTTAACCAGGCAAACGAATGGGCAGAATGTCGGAACACCTGTGACAAATGCGAAGGGAGTGGCATGGAAGGCAAAATGCTCTTAGCGGTCGCCTTAGCAAGGCAATCAACTGCTTCACTCCATGGCTCACCTACATGTGCTTTGAGATGTTCATGACAAAAACGCTTTCCAATGGCCGTGAGAAAATGTCGAACAGAGCGCAACCGCTCTTGCAAGGCAGTATATTCCCAGCAGTGTTCCCATTGGCCAAAGCCAGCTGCATATCGTCCAACAGTTTGGTTGTCGTAGTGGAAAAGAAACGGTGCATCAATGCGGCATTGAATAGCCCATAGCATGGCCCAAACCATGCCAACAGCTTCAGCGGTCAAAGCATCGTGCAGCAATTCTCCCATGGAAAAATTTTGATGGATTGGTTCCAGCGCAGATGAAAGCTGACTGGACGTGGCACAAAGAAATCGGTAAGCAAAATCATTGTCGCCGCAACAAATCTGGAGAATGACAATGAAAGCCCATGCTGCTAGACCGACATCTGTAGCCTGTCGATTATAGCTGGATCCATCTACATAGACGATGACTTGAGTGACTAGTTCACCCTGCCAGACCGGCACACCTGACAAAAGCGTACTCATTTCGGCAGGACAATCGGGCAAAAATTGCAAGAAATCCAGGGACCTGTAAAAAGTCTGTTCCGGCCATGGATCGAAAAACCGTTGAAAAAGACCACCCATGCGATGTGACTGCTGATCCTCTATGGTCATCGGCAGGAGTCGGTCAAGAGACAATTGAACAGGGACCGTGGGCGAATCTGCATTGGCCAGAGCGGGTCCAGGCTCTGACCGGCAGGTATCTATTCCAGCTGCTGCAACTGCAACCGGCTCTCGGCCTCCATTGTCTCGGGATCCCCATCTTCCGTAGCAACCTCGGTGGGAACAGGTGAAGGAATCTCGGAATCTGGTGGTGTAGGCAAACCATCTACACCAGATGGCTGGGAATGCACTGGCCCTTCCAAGGTCTTGGAAATCTTGGTTCGCCTCTCCCCTGGCGGACTGGTGTTCATCTGGTAGTGCTCCGGCTGCTTGCCAGTGCTTGGCTGAGGCTTGGCAGGGGAGCTGGTGACCGACCAATGGTCGGATGGTAACTGGGATCCTGCTGGCACAGGGGGAGCTAGCACTGTCGGCTGCGCGACAGGTGTTGTAGGCTGTGAACTTCGCTGCTGCTGTTTGCGTTGCTTTGCAGCTGTTTGAAAAGCTTGGATTTGCGCATGACAAAAAGCTTGTTGTTGCGCAAACTGTTCCAGCTGCTGTTGCATCTCTGGTGTCAATTCGGCAGCCGGTTCCCCCGTGGTCTGTTCTTGTAACTCTTTGAGCCCTTCTTCTGCATTGAGAACGATCTTCAGGAGTTCGGCAGAGGGTGGACTCATGCTCACAGGCAATGGTGCTTGACCTGTGGGGCTGGTACGCGGCGGGGTCAGCACTTCTGGCATCGTCATCTGAGCATGCTGACCAGGCGACAATTTCGGCATTGTGACTGGTGCACTGCTGGAAGGGTCGATAATCTGCATCATGTGGGCTGGGAGATCGGGGACTGGAGGTGGCCAATCCCAGACTCCTGGTGGCTGCTTGAGGTCGTTCTGAGCTGTAGTCACAGGATGTACCATGGCTGCCCCTACTTCGGCAGACGCCCCGGAAATCGGAGCAGGCAAAACCGGCATAGCAGTGGTCGATGCATCCTGACTCAGTTTCTGGCCTGATGGCAGCTCCATGGGAATTCCAGTGCCCGCAACATTCTCGTAGGCAAGCGGCAGAGTGCTGACGCTTGGCACATTCGGCATAACCGTTCTCAAATCTGCCCAAGCGGCTGGCATTGGGAACATGTTCATGGTTGGGTTGCCGGCTGCTAGATGTGCAGAGTCGTCGACCTCCATTGGTGCCTGGTACGTGGGAGCAGGGCTGCTCGGGAGCGAAGGCATGGTGGCAGACTGCTGCTGTTGCTGCTGCTGCTGGTGGATTAGTGTCATAGCAGACTGTACCTGCTGAACAAACACAGGATCCATCCCTGCAGGCATTACTGGTGGCTGCTTCGCATCGACTTGGCTGGGCAAAGCTTGCAAAGGTGCAGTACTGGTCAAGGTAGCCAACTCGTTCTTCAAGGTCTTCAGTTCTTTGGTCGCTTCGTGGCAAAACTGGACACATTTGGCATGCTCTTGAATCAACTGCTGATGATGGGCATGAACATATCGTGGCCAGTTGGTGCACACTTCCTGAAGACCAGATTCGAGCTTCTGGATTCTGGCCTCGACTTTCCCTATACGATTCGCACGTTGGTGCAGCACGGCTTTGACGGACTTCGAAGCATTCTGAGGTGCTTGCTGTGGCATAGGCTCGAAAAAGGCATGAGACCCAGAGGAGGAAGACAGCGACAATGCAGGAAAATCGAACGTGGGCAAAACATATTCGGCATGCTGACTGTGTGTCTTGCCTTGCTTCGATCCTACTTCGGCTTCTCCCTTTTTTTGGGCGAGATTTCGAACCTTTTCGATCCCATCGCGAACCACACGAACCACAAAAAGCATGTTGCATATGATTCGAAGATCCACATGAACAAATCCATGATGCCGGCATCGCACTAGACCCGTGCAAATCCAAAAAATGAAAAACCCTGCACAATCCAAGGGTCACTCGCGAGTGATGGCCAGCTATTCGCGAAAAACGGCGCAACCAAGCAGCTGGTGTCAACCAGGTTGCCGAAGTTCTCAAACTCCGCCGAATCCGAGATCGATGTGCACGATCGTGACGATGCGGAGCAGCAGAACGATCGCGTCGAAAACCAGCAATGGCGAAAACCGATCAACGACGCTGGGGCAACCGCGATCCTTCGCTAATGAAGGTGTTCGAGCCCTATATAGTACATATACTCCAAAAGAAAAGTAGGGTTTTCACTGCTCAGGTCAGACCGAGCTTCGCCTTTTGCGCTCGATGAAGCCAGGCTGCCCTGGTGTACGGTCAGATGAACGAGCCTCCAGGTGCTCGAGCACGTGCTACTTGGAGCGAGCATGTTGTTGAAGTCAACAACACTATTAATTATTTACACATCAGAGATCATGAGAGGTTTGGTTCAACACCAAGAAGGGGGACTGTCATGTAGACTTTTGATGAATACACCCCCCATTATGAAAAGGATGTCCAATTCAAATGGGGCGTTTACTCCCTAGGGCTCCAACCATATCCTCAGAAGGTGGTTAGACTCCCCAAACCCAACCCAACCATCTTCTCAGGAGGTGGGCCAGGAGCCCTATAGACTAATCAAGAGCCCAATCAAATGAGCGGTTTTCAACAGGCTGAACGGTTCTTCGCTCCTCGAACGGAGCTTCATTCAGCCGCCTCACCAGATCCCATCCCCTCAGAACGCCGGTGGCCGTTCTTCAAAACACACCAGCAGTCACAAGACGGGGTGCCGAACTTGGAGGAAGTCGGGGTGCCCCTGTCACATCCACAGCCCCTGGATGGGATTAAACACCACCGGTTTGTTTGCTTTTCCCACAGAACCCATCATCGGCTCACTGGGCAAAACCACTTTCGGCTCACTGGCAACATCCGTGAGAACGGTCACAAAGTGATACCAAACTGGATTCTCTAAGTTTGACGGGTAACTGGGCCCAAAGAACACGCACCTCAAACCATGCCCCAAACTCGCACCTGATAGACCGTGCCCGTGCCCACGGCGCAGCTCTGGCGCGCAGCGCTGGCGGATGGCACGTCTTCGTCGGGTGAGCCGCGGTCTGCGGCCCGTCCTAGGTGGCTTTGACCGGTCTGACGGTGGCGGAATACTTCCGCGACGAGGAGGGACAGGACGTCCCCGGCGCGCCTTGCGCGCGCCTTGCGCGCGCCTTGCGCATCGCGTGGGGTGGGTGTGGCTGGTTATGAAGCGGAAGATGTTTAGTCTGGCCGGAGCTGACCCAGAAAAGACCATTAATAAACATGAAAAGTAAGTAAATAGTCATCCGAACTAGCGTTTGGAGATGTTTAGGGAGGCAAGCTTGAAGTTTGGACATCGACATGTTCCCTTGTTTGAGAGTCCTTAACCATCACTGTAGTTGGAACATGAACCCATTCTTTCAATGGGGGCTCATTACCCTTGTTTTGTCCATGCTCAATTGCTGCCCCTACCAGGTATTTGTGCTGAACCAAAGACATCTATAGACTATAGACCAATCCTTTGTAAAACGGTTCCAAAACACGGAGGGCTAGCTGGGGGAGAGAGAACCAGGATTTTTCGCTCCAAACGCACCCCAAAACACATCTCCGACCTTTCTACCAGCGAAGGCTTCTCCATGCTTCTCCTCGGCCGCCGCGAGCGGCTTCGCAGGACGTGCTGCTCTTCGTGGACAACATCTTCCGCTTCACCCAAGCGGGCTCCGAGGCGCCCGTGGAGCACGGAGCGGTAGGGGCGAACCAAACTGAAGCATTCGGCAATGGCTAAAATAACTCAGATTGTGGTGGTTGACCAGGGGTCAATGTAAGTATAGGCATATGTTGGCATATGTTGGAGTGCTTGTCTTATTTTTCATCCCTGGAAACACTGAAGAGTGGTGTGAAGATATTTGGATGTGGTTGGTCTGACGAGGTTGGGCTTGTTTGACACGGATCCTGATTTGAAAGCTTGGCTTTGTTGTAAGAGCAGGATGTTTATAAGTCAATGCGTGACAGTAAGCTAACCTAATGAACACAGTCTTTGGAAGAAGCTTGCAAAGATTTGCAAAGCATGTCAGTATGTCAAAAATTGGTCAGAATCCTCCAAATTGCAGAGCCGCAGGGGAGCACTCTTTTATCATTACTCAAACAAGAAACGTGCTGAAAGAAGGGCTGGACATTTTATCATATTTAAGATGGAAAGAAGTCATTGTATAATGTTGTTGCTTCTTCATGTTGGCCTCTTCACCTCGAAAGGGCTTTGACCTTGAGGTCGGCTGCTGTATCCATGTGATTTCATGTTGGGGTTCACGACACCACTCATATACTTTCTCAGTGAATCCCTGCAATCACAGTCATCCCAAGCGTGCTCAACTATGAGCCAAACGCACGTCACCGCTCCGCAATATAGACTCTTGATTAGATTTCAACCTTCCTCCATATGTCGTGCTGTGGAATGCAGCCGGCAATGTACACTTACTAGGCTTGGACCTGTTGTGTGCACGAGTGGTGGAAGAGGTTCTACAATCCAAGTGGCGGGGGTCTTATTCATCAAGAGTTGTTCATTCTAAGCTTTCAGAGGGCTAAGACCGCAAGCGTGAAAAACCTACGTATTCAGCAAGAGTCCACATGATGATATTCTTCCGGGCATTTCCCAACGTTCTTCGTGGTTGGGGCACTCCATCCCTCCAGACGTCGTCAGGTGTCAGCCCTGCTGGGTCGTATCCCAAGTGCCGTCGGCCACTGGGACTGCAGCGGGGTGGGGGTGGGGTGCCGGTGGTGCCCAAGTCAAAGTCCACAGGTTTTCTCCCTTGTGGGGGGTCACGAAAGGAAGGGGATTGGGCATCTAGAATCTAGTTTCTAGCGGATCCATGAAGCTAGAAGCATTCCCTGCAAACAGCACCAGCCACGGGCAAGCATCAAGCTGCGACGCTGCGATGATACTCCTGTAGGACAGATCCAAGACACACCAACGATAATCAATGCTGACTACGACTGTGACAGTTTGTTCGTGCACTCCGAGATGCCTTGGCTTGTCTTTACCCAGGAAAAGTAGATAGCCTGTGGTGCTTTCAATGGACATGTGCCGTGTGACCAGGATTTCGCCTTGGCAGCCAGTACATCACCTGGCTTGGGAGATGCAAACTGATTTCGAAAGGTTCATGATGTTCAGATCAAAACGGCGGAGTCAGTGCTTCGAAACCCAAGGTTATCAGCCAACCCTGGCCACTGACTTGGCGTCTTTGCAGGACTGTCGCCGGATCGATCGCTTTCACGAGCGAGTCTTGGATCGTGACGATGTGGTGGTGCCGGGGCACCTTTGACTGTGGTGTAAGGGCGTTTGACGGTGTTTGTGGATGATGTGCGGGCTTGCAGCTCAGCCATTTGGTTGGGGAAATGGGCTCCGAGTCAGAAGCCCAGACAGTCTTTGGCTTCAGATGTGAAAAGAAGGACGCCATACGACACGAACAGCACCGCCTCGGCGGTGCTGTGACATCTGTGCATTGGTCGTCGCGTGTTCGCCAGGAACGAATTACCACCACGCAGAAAGGATCCATCACCTCTGTGCAGGTGTCGTGGCCTTTTGAGTCTCAAAAGTATCGCAGAAAATGGGTGCAAGATGGTACAAGTATGTGCAAGTATCTGTTTTGTTTCTTTGGAGTGGGTCATGTCACATGTCCCATTTTCGGTACTTCAAGTCGGGTCCGGGTCGAAGCGATGCGGCGAAGCGATGTCCGATGTGGGGGACAGGTGTGGGGAGGCGCCCAGTCTGATCCAGTAGAACCTGGTCCCGAACAAAGTCCTTTCCCTTCTTGAGTAGATTGAGATAGATTGAGGGAAAACGAATGGGTTTAAGGGAAAATCGGAACAACATGGGTTTCACCCCCTCAAACTATGGGTTTACTGCAACAATTCCCTTAAACCAATTCAAATGAGGTCGATCTCACCTGGAGGAATTCATTGAGTAGTGCCTTTTAAACAGTGAAGAAGCGGATCGTTTGGGGGGATGTGGTGGACCATGCTATTCTAACTTGCTTTTAAGAAGATTAAACATCATTGGCCTGGGTTTTTGTAGCCTAAAAAAGCCAGTAAAACTAAACAATGATGTGACGTTGTTGATGTTTCTTTGGTAAAGGCCATTAGAACCATGGTTGTTGGATGTGGTTGGAAGCCTACGCAAGGGTATTATCTTTTACAGGCCACACCAAAATCTACACCGGTACGAGCTGGCGTGGAGTCGCTCGCTGTCCCACTCGGCACAACGGTCGCTGTCCCAGTCCAACTCGGCTCCGCACAAGTGCTTCCACCATGGGATTCCACCGCTACGCGGCCCTACCACCGTGGATTCCAGGGCGTGCTTCCACCTCCGCACTGTTTCGTTCCGCCTCCCGGCCAGCGGACCGCACACGCGAGGCGGTCTACGTGCCGGCGGATGACTTGACAGATCCGGCCCCCGCCACCACCTTCGCACACCTGGATGCCACGACGGTCTTGTCGCGTCAGATCGCAGAGACGCTCGGTGGGTGAGCCGCTGTGGAGGGTGGAGATGTTGAGCTGTTGAAATGGATGGGGTGAAAGGATGTGAAAGGGCACGAACGAGGTCGTCGGCCGGACGAGGTCGTCGGGCTTGGTGAAAGGGTCAGAGGTTGACAGAGGTTGTCATTCAAGTATGAGTAGACACGAATCCATATGAGAACCCTGGGCAAGGAGCGCATATAGAATCTATAGAAGGCCTTGACGCAACATCTATTCCGATTGGGTTGATCACTCTGTCAGGGCGTATTCACATGTCTGGACGCTTTGTGCAATAGCCTTAAGGACTCATGGAGCCCTTTTTACTTGCACGTCTTGTACGTACCGTTTCCCTAGATGTTGGTAGGGACTTTGACCTATTGTACTCGTAGCGTCGTTTGCTGTCGCAGCTTCAAATCCGATCAGTTCAACTGCTCAACTCATGCGATCATGCTACCCACCTCATGGCCTATATGTGAACCCACAAAATGAAACGACCCCAGTCATAGGGCGCCGCGACTTGCTCGGGGAGGTTGGGCTTGTTTTCTATTGGGCATCTATATATATATATACATGTTTATTGTTTCCCTCGCTATATATTATATACCTGGACCCCCTGACCACCTACTTATTTCTAGGCGATCCGGATTTCTAGGCGAAGCCTAGAAACGCGCACATGGACAAATTTCATGAAACGATCCACATGTTGTCACTTCATGTCAAACCATGTGTTGGAGATCAAAAACAATGATGGATTGGATTTGGACTAGCAAAACCTGTAGATTATGTTATTGGAAAATTCCGACGCCTGTCCTTTGACCTTATTGCTGTAGAATGCGTAGTGTAGATTATGTTATTGCTATCCATTGCTATTGTAAAAACCCACAGCTCCACATTTGGCTCTTTAAATCCCTGAAGGTGCACGAACTGTGACAAACCTGAAGGTTTTGAACACCCGTAAGGTAAGAGCCAGTGAACATCATCAAAATGTTTTCAAAGCCAACAAGAATGCTGACTTTCCAGAAACACGACATGTGCGTCATTTTTGTGGGCGCTGGCGTCGTATTTTTGGTATTTTTGGGCGCTCACGTCATATTTCTGGGCGGTCTCCAATTTCTACTCGATCAGAGTTTTTCATGTTTTTGTTTTTTTTTGCATTTGGTGTCTTAAGTGGCATGAAGTGCAACAAACCATCACTAGAATGTGTGGGGCCTGCATCGCGAACATCTTCACCTTCCGCCTACTGACACGAGCTGCACTTGGATAAAGGGGAGATGTCTAAAGTTTTGCTGGGGTTGTAAAATGCTCATACTTATTGCTGTTTATTTCTCTTAGTTCTCAGGGTGACAGCCATAATTATCGAAAGGATGTGCCATTCTTTGTTTCCATTCACTGGCAACTTCCTGGGCATTCATGTAGCCTTGATCCATACATACTCTGTACTGAAAGAGGCTCTGCCCTTGAGCCCCTCAAAAATGTGTGCGCTCAGGATTTCTAGGTGCACCGAGAAGAAAGTCAACGAACAAGGCTTCAGGTATATCTACATGTATATACTTTGGACCTACGGTGGGTTTCTTGAACAGTCGCCTTAGTCGGCGCCGGGAGTTGTACTTACACAGCTTACAGCTGAGCTGAGGTTGGGCATCTATCCTGCCGTGGATCCGCTGGACTCCACGAGCCGAATGTTGGACCCGTCCATCGTGGGTCAGCGGCACTACGACATCGCTCGCAGCACGCCGCGCGGTTCGAAGCGAAAAGCGGTTCAAAATGGTTCAAAGGTTTGTTGGTCACAGACCGGACCGGGGACGGAGGACTTTTCTGGTGTGTGTGTGTTCGCATTTTTGCCTGGTGGCAATGATGAATGTGTCGAAGTTGGATTTCAGCCACGGGCTAGAACAGACCCCCAAAGAGGCAGATCGGCGAGGACGGCGACGGGTTTGGACAGGTATTAAGAAGAGTTTCGTCGACACCACTGTGCAGGCTTTTTTGAAGAGTTGGCATAGATTGGCGTTGATATGCGTTGACCATCATGGTGTTCATCAAAATGTTCAGTACAGTTGACAGTTCCCTGCACTGACATCATCCACACTGGTTGAGGGTGCCCAGGAGGGGATACCCAAGCGGAGGCAACTCAGGCAAGAATGATGGTTTTTTCAATGTGTTTTCCGCCCCCCGGCGGGGGCGCCCCTGTGAAATTGGAGTCGTTCGCCACGGGCGTCCAAGAATGTCCCAGATATGCTGTGCTCCTTCGGTGCGATGAATTCGATCTAGGCATACCTGGCGGCCCTTGGAGATGTCGATGCCGAATCGATGGCCCCTGGCCTTCGGTGTGCCCCTGTAAAACGCCATGGGCCGACACTTCACGCTGGCCATCGGAAACCGAGTTTCTTCCCGTGTCCATCGACGACGGTCAGAAAGTGGGCGAAATACGTACTACGGAGGGAAATCATATCAATTCGTAACAATCTTCAGAAATCCACCTGGGATAGATTTGGGGCGGCTAAGGTATATTTTTTTTTGTCTTTTTCGGGGCCGAGACCAGCCACCATGGGGCTTTCTCCACAATCTCCCTCCCAGTGTTCTGCGCAAATCTGTCAACCAAACCAGTCACATGAGCTCCATGAATGAATGGCTGGCTCCAGCTGAGGCAAAAGATCCTCCAGGACTACAAGTCTTTGCAGGACCAGTTCTTCTGAGCTTGCAAAGATGTGAATACACACGGGAAAGTCTCTTTGCGTTGAGCATTGATATCAAGCGTCGATGTGAACCATGCGTTCTTTTTGATCTGTTGCATGGCTGAAACATGTGGTTGGTCCTATTCCTATTCACTCTTAGAGTCACTCAAAGTTTTTCCGCAAGTATAGTAACTATTTTATAGTACTGTAATTGATGCAAAAATCGTATATAGTAATTGTTTCTTTTAGGAATGGTCACTGTCCCTATTGATCACCATCATCATCATCATCATCAACATCATCATCATCATCATGATCATCATGTTTTTCTTGTTTCGTGTCTGTTTGTAATTATTTTTTTTCATATTCCTTTTCTTCATTAGGAGCAGCAGCAGAAGAATAATCATTAACTGATTCACCTCCTTTTGCTTATGTCGTACTATTATATTTGCTCCAGTCAGTCAGCTTCCTGGTTCACTAAACAACCAGACATGTGAGAAACCATGTTTATACAGTGCAGTGTTCTTCATGGTTTCAGAATATTTCAGTATATAGATACAATCTCTGTGAGGCAGATGGGAGGGAGGGGCAATATTTCTAATATTGTAAATATTATTAACTTTGTTGAAGTTATATAAGATTATGTAATTCCCTTTTCACGGTTGAGGTGGAGTGAACAAACAACGCCGGGTGTCCTATGCCGGTGGCTGAGCCACACTCGCAGGACATCATTGCCATTCTCGGTATGGATGAGTTGAGTCTGCTGAGCCGCAGTTGTGGGAGAAGTGTGGGAGAACTGTGAGTGGTTGATCACGGACAGCACTAGGTCACTAGGGGCTACTGAGTGGGCTACTGTAGAGCTCAGCACTAGGGCTTGCGATCAGACTGTAGAGCTTGCGTTCGGACATCGAGATGGGTTGAAAAAGTACAGACGCATACCGTGGCGATCACCAAGATCATCGCCACTGTGGCTTCTTGGGAGGGACCCCCACAAAAAGCACCGCCTGAACGGCGACGCCGCACTGAGGTGAAGAAGATAAGCTGACCGTGGCACGAGCACGCAAGGTGAGTCGGCGCGAGGGGCCGCGAGGGGCGTGTTCTCCAGATGTTTGGAACGTCCGCCTTTGCGGACAACGCATTCGTTGGACGCGTGTTTTCACGGTTCCAGCGATGGATGTTCTGCCTGAACGTTGAATTGGTTTGCAGACGGCGTAGCGGTGCAAGAAAAGGTCATTGTGTGAGCAGGCTCACATCCGCCAAGTGCACGCCCAACTATAGGACCACCCAAAGGGTGGTTTACAGATCCCCCTGACTACGCATGTTCACGTATTTTCCATCCAATAACCATCCTTTCGGTGGTGCTGCAATAAGAAAGTTCATCCAACAAACCCCTATCTTCATCAGCCAGTTCCACCCATTCCACCCATCGATAATCTCGGAATTAGTCTCCGAATTTGGGTGTGTATTTTGAATATAGGAAGAACCCCCCCAACCAAAATGGGTAGTAGGGTCATGTAGGGTCTATTTCCTGAACCGAATGTAGGGGGTTTGAAAGGGGCACTCTCCCCCGGCAAAAAACCACACACGCCAACTCAACTCCTCTCAACTCCACCGCGCGGAGTGGCACAGCAACTCATCGGACCTCATCCGACCATCGGACTTCATCCGACTCCCTTCAGAACGGTCTGTGGCACCCCCTGCTCCATCCTGAAGCCGCTCCCGAACCCCTCCTGCTCCATTCTCCCCGCGGAGTGGCACCCCGCCTCCTGCGGCGAGATTAGGCGCGGTGGCTCCCGTCGCAGGTGCAGCGCTTCCTGTCGCAGCCCTTCTTCGTGGCGGAGATCTTCACTGGAACCCCGGGCGCCTTCGTGGACTTGGAGACCACGCGGCTCGGACGATTCGTGCGGCGCGGCCGGCGGAAAAGAGAGATCCACACCGAGGTGGTTCTGAAAGGAATCTCTATAAGGTCCAATGGGTTAACAGTAATTACTATAGGTATTTGTTGGTAATGGACTCAAAAGGTCCATATAAGTACGCTATATTCGCTATATTGCTATATACCTGGAAAGGACGAAGGCCGTATTTGGACAGAATTTATCGTATGGACATGTTAATTAACGAATTAGCGTATTTAGCCGTATGGACAGAAAAAACAATACCGTACAAAAGCGTACCCATATGAAACCCAAACTTTATCAACATTTTATCGACAAAAATATTGATAAAACCCAATCAAACCCAATATTCGGAGGAATTCCAGAAAATTTGTCCATTTGACAAAAAGGGATTTTTTGTGCGAACGTGTTTGAACCAAAAAAAACAATGCACATTTGGATTCCCTGGTATATATATCAAGTGTTTTCTTGTGGGGAGAAAGTCTTGGCAGTCTTGGATGTGTACATGATATGACATGCATACCCGGTTTCACGAAGGTTTTATGTGTGTTTCTTCACCATGACATCTCTCGATCTCCGCATCCCATCGAGTCGATCAGTTGCGCCTCCGAGGATCAATGACTTTGAAGAAGTGCTCTCAGGTAACTGCGATGACATCCCCGAGGTGAGTTGGTTTCGGTGGACATGCAGCTTTTAGTTGGGGCTTTTAGGACATGGGGGGAATTCCGGATACTGCAACTATGCGATATTGTGGTGGATGTGTTTGGCGAACGTCACTTCAAATTCAGTAACACATGCTGCGGATTTGGGTAACCATAGCGTTGTACAAATGACATGTTGTTGGGAACATGCAAATTTGTCGCGGATCCTTTTTGTGAGCCTTGATGGAAGGTCACCTTGCAAGTGACAAGTCAAACAATTTGATCAGCATCGTTGGTTTGTCTCTCAGTATAGTAGATTGAGGAGGCTATTGATTGGATATGAAGTGGTGAGCCAAAGGACAGATGAGAGACCCAGACTTTGACACGGGGTGTTTGGTTCTTGAAGTTTTGCCGCTTTGCCATCACCAACTTGGAGCTCCACGATGACACATGACACATCCATCATGTGGTCGTCAGAAGTGTCACCAACATGTGTTTTTGATAGTAAAATTACCAGCTACAGTAAGAGTAAGTTGAGATTCTGGATTACCAAATCCGGGATGTGGTTCCACACTCTGCCGGGTGGCCACGTTCGCTCGGCAGGCGGCCTTCTACATGATCGGCGGCATGTCTGACGTCCGGGAGAAAGCGGCGAAGCTGGCCGCTGTGGCCGCGGGCAAGTGATTTCGGTCGCCGGCAGCGACCATCTGTGGCTCACAGACGTGACGCAGATGTAGGACATGGTAGGGCCAATTGTAGGGTATTCAGACGGAATTCGGCACTTGAGTTCTGTTTAGGACATCCTTTTTGGAGGGAATCTTGGGATCCTTGTGTTTTGGGTTCCTTCAGCAGCTTCACTTTAGCCACCTAAACCTTTCCAGAGTCAGACAGACTCAATCTTAACCCTGCAAGATCCTGCAAGACTCCACGACAGAGCGAACTATGTACAGTAGTGTTCAAACAAGTGAGCTACTAGGTGGAGGCCATCGCTATTAGGTTGGAGGCCATCACGTACAAGAAGTTCTGAATTAGATGATTGATGACCAGCTTCTTCAGAGTGACCTCTTTGGAGTGCCTAAGTGACGTTTTACAGGCCCAAGTGACCTCAAACTGGGATATCAAGGACGGTCACTTTGAAGAACCAGGGATGAAACTTGGATCTTTTTTGGGCATAACCTTCTGACACCCGCCAGGTGCCACAAAAACATCAACACTGGTCGGCTTTTTTTTGTGGGTGTGTCAAGCAACAGCGGTGCCAAGCATGCGATCAGTGCAATTCCCTGTGTCACCCAGATGTTCAAAGAGTTGCCTACTGAGATTCAACAGCTGGATAAAAGCAGTTGGAAATTGGACATAGCCGTAAAAACTGCGACCAATCAGGCACTGTGAGCTACCATCCTTTTCTTAGTTGTGTAGAGAATATGCGGGACGACTCGATCACTTTTTTGGACCCAAAAAAGCGCCTGCCTGGCGGCCGCGCGCGTTTTTCGCAGCGAAGCAGGACAGTCAAACGGCCGAAACGTGTTGACGGACGGCGGGTGTGTTATCCCGGCCGCTCAACAGAAAGCCGTGCCAGGGGACCCAAACAGAAAGTGTTTAGGGATCCGGCTGTAACTGAAAAACATTGTCCCTAAGCTGATCAACAGAATTGCTTCAAACGCTTGCGAGCGAATAGTAATAATAGCCATGCGACGCTCGCCATGCGTCGCTCGCCATGCTTCGCCTCTTTGTGTCCCGATGGTTTCGGGGTCCCGGATCTTGCAGACATGATCCATCTCCGCGACCACCTCCTCTTTCGCGGAAGCTTTCCACTTTTCGTTCGCCCATCTATCCGCGGCGGATGGTTCGTCTTCTCTGGTGTTGTCTTCATCCGGCGCCCAAACACCGGATGGATGGCTGTTTCTGCCTTGGTCCAGCCGTCCCCAAGGAAGTGGACGGCTGGTGGAAGCTAGCGGCTGGGCTTTTGAGCGATCGCAGCGCCAGTTCACCTGACCGGACGGTTTCACCCGGAGCGGCTCCTCGATGAGGCGAGTTGGTTGCACGTTTGGCCTTTTGGAACACGGAAGAAAGAAATGGTGGAGCAAGAACGAGCGGGATGATCCATGTGTTCAGACCATAACCCAGCAAGTCCAAAGTACGGGTGCGTTAGCGTAAAGGACGCATTTCACCTCCCAACTTCCAAGACCTAATGTTCACAGGTTTTTCACGGCCTTTCACCCTGTTTTCACGGCCTTTTCAAGCTTCCAGCTCCCGTTTTGCTAAAGCACCGGTTAAACCGGTGCGTCACTAAAGAACTGGTTAAACTGGTGCGTTGACCCACTGGGTAAGGAACAAAGCGCATCCGAAAACCATCGGATTAAAGATGGACTAGTGACTAGTATATAAACACCTGACTTTATAGGACATTTTAGGACAACCGAAGGCGACGCAAGAGGCGATGTTAGTGGAAGCGATGTACACTTTTCCGTTCAGTGCTGCTTGTCCTTGCAGTGCTACCTTTCTTCCGCTGTTTGTTCCCCACTGCCGGATGCCTTGAGCACTGCTCCATCTCAAAGCCGGCCTTGCACCCAGGTGCTTTGAGACCTTCTCCGGCAGTGGATGCTTCTTCCAGCAAATGCTGCATCCTTGGCCACTGGCCATCCATAAGGCTCCGTTCGCTTCACCCTCCCCATGTGCCCCAAACACTGCGGCGCCTGACTTCCGCGGTTTCAACACGCGAACCGCTTCGCCGTTCACCGCTTCGCCTGCGACCGACCGCTTCAGCGATTCGTCACCAGGGGTCGTGGCACACGGGTGGGGCAGCGAGGTGGCGCAGGCGACCCTCCAAAGTCTTGATTCGATAAAAGCGTTTCTGCGCCGCAGGCAACAAGCCTAGTCACCAGTAGGCTTGTGCAGCGAGATTTGTGATCTAAAATGATCTAAACAATTAATAGCGTGTTTGCAACAATCTGTTCAAGACATTGCAATGAGGCGCGTCGAAGAAAACCACCTGTTGACCATGACATGGTGGAAAACAGCATCAGTTGCACGATTCGGCAAGAAGCGCATATATTGAAACAATAACTTATTATGTGATTTACAAATGATTCGAAGACCCTCCCGTCACCATAAACATCCATAAACCATGGCTCATGTTTGTTCAAAACTTATCAGATTCCTAAGACTAGCAGCTGTTTGCCAATGAGCGCAAGCCACAAGCATTGCTGACGGTATTTGACGATGATTAAACCATGATAAACCTGTAGAAGAGGAAAGGATATCTTGCGCAGCAAGGGTTACTACCAACTCGAGCGTGTTGACTAGATTTCCTTGGCTATCCATCATTGTTCTGGTGATGTTTCGTTGCTGGTGTTTCCCAGTGCTGAATGCCGCTTCATGCTCCTTCTTTTCTCGATGCGTGTCGGCCTCATGTTTCCACGTGACAAGGTCTGCAAGAGATAATTCACTGTGGGCGCTTCATGTTTGGGCTAAACAGCCCCCGAAAAGGTAGAGGCTGGCCTCTGACTGTCTGGTGACCCCTGCATCATCCCGCGACGTGTTGGTTCTACGCTTGTGCCTGGCGTCGCAAGCGTCGCAAGACCTATGCCATCCTCTTTGGTGTGATTTCCGCTCCTGTCCCAGTGCTTCTTCAGCATTCTACGTTGTTTGATCCGAATCTGACTGGACTCCTCGCTGTATTTGGACTCGACGATCAAAGACTCAAAGGCACGGTTCATCTACAGTCCGACGGAGCACACCACGGTGGGTGTCATTTCCCGCTGCGGTAACCCGTTCCTTTTTGGTCCGTGGCGGGGCGGCAACAGCGGCGGTCGAGCTCCGTCTTCCAGGAGCCCATGCCATCCACTTCTATCTCCCTATGGATCCACTGCCACCGAACGGTGAGGTACGGTGAGGACGGAGACTGATGTAGGTTAGGAGCCAGGAGGTTCCAGTTCTGACCTTCTGAGGTACGGTGGCAGTGGATCCATAGGTTGTGGATGTGTTCGTCAGAGTGTGTGTGGATGATTTTCACCCTGGCTCTTTTTCGCTTCCCGCGAGTGGATGCACCCGAGGCTGGTTGCTTTTGTGCATCTCAAGCCTCCAATTCGTTGAGGGCTCTGTTGTGTATGGTTCTGCTTGAAGGCAATGTTTCGGTGATTGGTGGACCTGTCGGCCTCAAAGTTTCGGCCTTCTAAGGGGCTGGGTGGACCATCGAGGGTACGGGGTGCAGCTGGCGGTAGCCGGGGTGGCTGGTGTTTTCGAAGAAACCACTTGTGTACCCAAGCTATGTTGTTTACGTCACAAGGTGCACACACAATTTGCCAGACATATGCTTTGGTCCACTATACTTAGGGCCCGAAGAATTCCTGTATTCTAGCCTGGCTACCCTAGAATGATGGAGTTGTTCGTCCCATTGATGCAGATATCCTGTTGTTGTGGCCAGTAGTCTCAAACATGTTGTTTCAATAGACACATATCGATACATGTGTCCTTAATTTTACACAGGTTTTGTTGCGCCGAGTTTCCCCTGAACTAGAATAGAAGGATAATTTGTTTAACACCCTTGGGTGCTTCCACTTGTTATAAATTCAAACATTGCAAGCCAGATTCTCTAAATTGGTGGCAAACCTCGGGAATACGTACAAAACAAAAAACAATTATAGCTTGAAGGTTAAACCCGATGCTATAGAAGCTGCCAAACTTTACAACATTGACATTATAGAGGCGATGCACTTTATCATAGCAAAAACAACTATGGGAAGATTGGCTGGGACCTGGATTTGGATGGATTTGGCGCGAAGAAAGTTAACTTAAAAGGTGTGTTGTCCTTTTTAGAAATGAGTTGTTGGCGTTCATTTTCCAAAGGTCCATTAATTTCCCAGATGTTCCTGGACTCCGGGCAAGCCAGTATCAGAATGTACCAGGTAGTATCGGAGGTAGATTCGAAGTTTCCTGCAATAGGACATGTATTGCGCGTGTTTCTCCAGCGGTTTACTTGGAGGGGTTTTTACTCGGTTCAAAGTTCAAAGGGTTGCATGCCTAGGCCGCATGATTTTACATTTGTGGGCTTGCGTTTCTGCCACACTGCGGTTGCTTTGGCCGCATGATTTTACACTTGCCTCCCACTTGTCTCCCTTGTGTCCAGCACACTGTGGGCACTCTGGCCACCAAACGCCCCAAGCCAGGAACAAGCACACACGTCGCCGCTGGGCCGATCACGGTCGCGACCGCAGGCGAGCGTGTCGCACAGCGAGCGCGTGCTCCCATTGCTCCTGTCTCCCGGAGCTGCGCAGAACGCGTTCTCGAGCGAGGGCAGCAAGCTGTCTTATCCCTGTTGTGCCAGTCTGCGCCCTCCGATTTCGAGACGCACGACTTCGCCTCGCCGTCCCGTCGTCCTCGCCGCCATTGTCCCCCGGCACGCCGGGCACGGGGGCGTGCCTGCGCGCCTTGCCGTCGGACTCGGCCGCCGCCGGGGGCGGCACGGGTGTGTTCCAGTTGTCTCCTTTGGCTTATGTTCTGGCCGCGTGATTTTGCATTTGTTCTCAGTTAGCTAGCTGACTTGTCTTCAGTACAAACTGGGCACTCTGGGCCGCATGGTTTTGCAATGGGTTGCCATGTCACCCGCGCACTCGGTCGCATCACTTTACATTTGCCACTTGCCTCCCTATGCCCCCCTTGTTTCCCAGTCCACTCTGTGTGCTCTGCGCCGTATGGTTCCACACTTGTTCCAAGCAGTTTTGCCTGTGTGGGGTTCTTATGGCTTGTTTCTGAAAGTTCCCTGCCTGGGCTGGATGATTTTGGTGCTGGCCTATCGGTTGTTGTTGTTGCACTTGTCTCACTGCTTGTCTCACTCGTCAAGTCAACATATTGGATAGATTAGCATATGTTCTGTATTCGTCTGAATTGCCGGTCCCGACCCTGAACCAATTGAGCCAAGCGTTGAAACAAACCCACCACGTCCAGTCTGATCACTGCGCGCTTGAACATTTTGGGTGGCTGGTTGTTTTGCAGTTCGTTTCGGTGTCTTACTAATTCATATACGCAGGCAGATTATTTTTATGTGTTTTGATATTTGTGAGCGTCTAGTGACCTAGTCATCGGACACCCTGGACAAAGGCCACGGTGCGCGGGTTGTTTTTGCGCACTTTTCACAGGCTTGAATCCCCAGGCGTTTTGAAACTCCGGCAACCCCGCGTAGATGTCTTAAGTGCTAATGTTCAACCTTGTACAGTGACAAAATGTTTGCATGCCCGAAAGTTTTGTGGCTTGGCTGGGACGTGGGTTTGGTACAGTAAAACGCTGTCTTTATCACGTTACTCTTGCGATAGCAAGGTTTCTTTCGACCGGGTGCCCTCCTCCCCTCTCCCCTCTCCCCTCTCCTCCTCCTTGTCTTCCTCCCACCTTCCCTCCCTCCCTCCCTCCTCCCTCTTCGCAAGTTCGACTCCGTCCTGTCGTCGCTCTTTGGCATGCGGTTAGCGTTGCGTATCTTGCGGCCGCACTCGCTCACTCTCACTCTCACTGTCTCACTGTCTCACTGTCTCTCTCTCTCTCTCTCTCTCTCTCTCATCTCTCTCATCTCTCTCATCTCTCTCATCTCTTTCTCATCTCTCTCTCTCTCCCCTCTGTCTCTCGTGTTTCCGTCTCTCTCCTCTTTCTTCTCTCGCAGGAGGATCCGGGCAAAGAGCCACATATAAATGACTCTTCACCCCTGCCTCCAAAAAGAGCGCCGTGTTTTTTCCTACCTCACTGCCCTCCACTTTCCCATTCTGGAGCGCTAGCTTTCGCCCCCCCCTTGGCCTCAAGTTATCTACAAAAGGCGTGTGCTTTATCATCTAAAAGCCTCAAACATCCCTGGCCTCGGTACATTTGGGGGTTTCGGTAAGGTTCGTTCCCTATTCCATACTTTGGACGTGCGTGTTGGTGTTGGTTGGATGACCACGTCGCCGTGCATCGCCGTCTCGAATTACGTTTTTTGTATGGGCCCTCCCGTCGTAAATTATTCCAGGGTAGGGTCACCTCCAGGAAATTTTGTCAGATTTTTTTAAAAAGGAATATTAAAACCACCATGTTTGAAGTTGGTGTGGGTGGGTGGTACCCTGGAATAACAAGGTGGGAATTTGCAAGCTGGAAACCATGTTGATTTAGTGTGGTTGGATGGTACCCTGGGATAATATTGGGCTGGGTGTTTTCAGCTCTAGGTCGGAATTGGTTTGCATGCTCACCATATCTCAGCATGGAAGCTGGCTCAAGGCTCAAGTTCAAAAACTTACAATAAAAGGGTTGGGAAAGCTTTTAAGGATTTTGTGATGGGTTTCGGGTGAGGCATAGTGGCAGGCAGGGTTAGGTATAGAGGCAAACAGGGGAGGTGATATTTTTCTAGGCCCTTACCAGAACTGAACCACCCCTATGGAGATTGTATACAGGAGTGCAAAAACTAATAAGGTTTTTGGTGAGGGGTTGGTATCTTTGGGTTAGTTCTGGCAGCGCAAGTGCCATTAAAACTTGTGGTGTGCAGGCCTTGACTTTACTACATGTTTGCCATAAAAAAGATCCTTCAGGGTGCCATTTAGACTATTGCATGTTGGAAATTGCTTTAAATTATTCCTGAGAACTGTTCACATATGGAATAACTTTTGGCCAGGTGTAGGTCCACCATTGAATAATACATTATACAAAATATTCTGGGCCTCCATCCACCCCAGGCCCCAGATGGCAGGCCCCATTTTGTTGTTGCTAATTTTTTTGGCGTTTAGGAGGGTGGAAGGAACCACAAGGACCCAAACACAGTGGGAAACCGCAGCCCGGCGATTTTTTACTATTAAGTAATGTGGCAACGTCCCGTTTATTTGGGATATGTTTTTCTTTTATCGGGAGCACGAACGGCACCCGTATGTTTGTTGGCGGGATTGTTTGTTTTGGCCAGAGGGGGGAAGTCCAGGCGTGACAGCGTGGATCCCCCCGCCGGCGCGTCCGGTATCAACCCCGACTTGTTGCTGCTTTGCTTTTGCGACAAACTTAATCGCGAGTACCTATTAAAAAACGGGCAACGACGGATAACGCTCTTTAAAGCCGCCACTAAACCATCAACATGGCGGTGGCTTGTTGGTTTGTATTGGGTTGACAGTTGGGTTGACGTAATCCTACTAGTAGTAGTCGTCGTCGTAGTCGAAGTAGACCTGGCATGACGTGGCTGTCCACACCTCCGCTGCCTGCTTGCCTGCCTCTCGTTTCTGCTGTGTGGCAGGTTGATATCCTGTTGCCCCAATCGTGCAAGCATGCCCTGGTTGGAGCCTACTTATATACATACAGCGCGTACAGTGGCTAGAGGACTTGGCGGTCATCAACCCGCCCTAGAGAGGATTGCCTAGTCTGCTGGCGCCTGGCTCGACTGGCTGCCTCTAAACTGCTGGCACTTGCCACGACATTGGCCCCTCAAGGCCCAAAAAGATCCAAAAAGTACTACGCAGGCAACGAAACGTTCACATGAAGGTCCGGCAAAGTAACTACTGCGTTTGCCACGCTTGCTTGTTATACACAATTAGTATCCCCACCGCCCCCTTAACCATGGATTGGAGGGGGGGTCAAAAAATGAACCTACATTTTCAGACCCCCTCCCCCCTTCGAAAAATTGAACTTTACACCCGTCCAGGCACGGAAATTGAGGTGCGTGAAGGGCGGAAGGGGGTCTAAAAATGTAACATTATGTCTGCCAGGTGTATGGTTACATTTTCAAACCCTTCTACCAAAAAGCGGGGGGGGGCTGGAAATTGTAACTTGGACTCTGCGAGGCGGACGGGTACATTTTATACGCCCCCCCCAATTTGTTCTATCCATGTCCTGGCAAAATCGGTAGGCCGAGATGCTGCAGATGTTTCTATGTGGTTTTTTTACCTGCCACACAGTTGGTCTGCGATGTTTGCCTGGGTGAAATTGCGCACATCCCAGGCCCGGACACACCTAAGTCACATGTTGTTCTGGGAGTCAGGTCCATGTATGGTCCATTATGACCCAGGATATACAGGACAAACAGCCCCACACAACACCAAATCACAACAAACCCACCAAAGAAAGGTAGGCATAAATGCAACCAAGACCAACTTCACACATCGCATACCAGGTGAAATTGCACATATCCCAGGCCTGGATACACCTATAAGCTACATTTTGTTCAGTCAGGCCCATACATGTGCACACCTAAGTTACATTTTGTTCTGGGAGTCTGGTCCGTGTATGCTCCACCATGACCCAGGATGTAATGGCTGCGAAACTTGCCAACGCCCACAACGGCCACTTTTGCCAGCGACCACGATGTGGCAGTCGCCAGTACCCTCACCGAGCTGCTCCAAACCAGCCCCCTCCCCGCGGCAGCGCTCGCCCGCGCGCACCTGCCTCTTCACCAAGGCGGTTTGGGTTTGACATCCACCACTTGCCTAGCACATGCCGCATACTGAGCATCTTGGGCCGATGCTTTGCCATGCTTTGCCCACCCTCGAGCAACAAGCGCCAGATTTGACTCACCATCTGACCCAACATTTCCAACATCCCAATGCAGCACCCCCGTCCCTACAAGCAGCCAGCCGCGCAGCTGACCAACTACACCAACACGGCTGGGAGCCACCCCCGTTTCCAGCACTCCAGCAGGGCCTGCAACCCCCCCCGATGAACCACCACAGCCACACACTATGCAACGAGGCTGGCAAAGCTGCTGTACACAAAGCATGGCACACAGAACTGTTAAGCACCTTGGACCCAGCCAGTGCAGCCATGATGGCCTCACAGTCAGGGCCATTTGCCAGCCGAGTGTTCACCACAGTCCCGCATTCGCCAGACTTGTTTTACCCCAGCCACTTATTCCGGCTCCTCATGCTCCATCGGCTCCGCCTCCCAGCCGCCAAGGGGCTGCCCCCTGGAACGGGCTGCCGCGCGGGTGTGCCGTGAAGCTGGCGCACGTGCTACACCCAACACCCTCCTTTCAGACCTCAACCTTCCATCCGTGGACCGCATGGACAGCCGCCGCATTGAAGTTATTGCCAATGGCCTCCCATTGATAGACACCGCCCTCGTCTCCCCCTCACCACCAACAGGGAACCGCGAAGGTACCGAGGCACACACATAGGGGCAGCGCTCCAACAGGCACAGCGAGCCAAAGAGCGCACATACCCAGAACTCACCCGTGGAGGCCGGTGCCGCTTAGTCGTTCTCGCGTTCGAACTCGGCGGTCGCTTCAGCGCCGAAACGGCAGCCTTCCTTCCCCTTTTAGCAAGGGCCAGGGCCCGGTCTGCATCAGCACCACTCCGGGCGGTCACGATTGCTGGACTTGTGGGTGGTCCGCCCTCCTCACCCATGCAGCCCAAAATGCATTTGCAGCCAGCTTAGTGGCCGACGCCATCGCCAGCAGCACCAACATCGATGGAGACACCCCCTGCCTCAGTGACATTCTGGCATAAGCCCCCTTGACCCCACCCCCCGTCTCCCGCCTCGCCTACTGCCTCGCCTAAGGCCTGGACTTGGCCACGCCCGGGATAGGCCTCGCCCACCCCCCCCGCACACCTGGAGACTGGCCAGTATAAAAACAGTCCATCACAATGCACAACTGGAGACTGGCCAGTATACAACAGTCCACCCAGACACCAGACCTCAGCGCAGACAAAGGTGCGAGGAAAAAACAAACAGCCTCACACAAACAGCCTGGACACACCATAATTGTTCAACCATGAGATATGTGACTTAATGCAAGTGACATTTTCCTTGGAAAAGGCCGGAAAAATGTAACTTACATTTTCCTGTACTTAGTTACATTTTTGTATTGAAAAATGTAACTTAAAGTAGTTATAGTTTTTTGGTGGCTTGCCTACCAATGTAACTTACATTTTGTTAGGTCTATGTTAGGGGATTATGTAAGTTACAATTTTTCAGGTCCCCCCCAGAGTGGGTAGGGATCAGTTGGTCAATTATTCACAGATTCTTCTACTGACCCTGTTTTGGCCTACCCTGACTTCAGGCACCGCTTGGTAAGAAAAAAACATGCCGCGCGGGTTAGCCGCTGAGCTGCCCTCCTGGTTTTCGCGGCCCCACGCGCCTTCCTCGCCTCCCTTCTCACGCTTCCCGCGGCCGCTGCGGCCAACGTTGACGGCGAGGCCCTTTTGCTCAGAGACCTTGCCTTTTGCCCCGCGGAGGGTGCCCAGCCTACCCGCCTTAGCCCGCGCGGCTGAACTTGCGAGGAAAAAGGTGAGGGGAAAAAAATTGTGCCGGAGGGATTAAACACAAGCAAAAGCATCGTAGTGCCCTTGCGCCATGTTGCGCCTGTTGATTGGGATGTTTGTTTTCATGGACCTTCGCAACTTGCCCTCCCTCCCCTCCCCAGCTCACACTAGTTGCAGGCAAAGTGCGCCTTGAACAAGTCAAATCAGGCAGTTCAGCAAACTGCAGCAGTGGACTACAAAGAAATCGGAAAAATTGTGGGGTCCTCCTTTCCAGTGCTAATTGTTACCACTTTTACCGTCACCCCTACCCCAGCCATCAAACAGGCTGGCAGCTGGTACTGTAGGGGGATTCCAGTTCCCACCACCTGTTGTTGTTTGTGTGTTGTTGTGGTCAGTCCATCACCCAGTGTGTGACGGGAAAGTGTTCAACTAAGCCATGAGTGCCGCTGCAGCGCCGTGCCGCGGACTGTGCGTGGTCACTGCTGAAACATAAAACTTAAAGGTGCCACTGGCCAAACAATGTCATGCATGGTTTGTTGGAACCGCAGAAAGGTCAAGCGCGGGCCACCCTGCACTCGATTCCGCACCTTGAATGGGGAAGATCACAACGCCCAGAGCTGGAAATGATCCGACGGAAAGTCAACGCAGGAGACAGCCCTACATGCATTGGTGGCGTTCCCTCGCATGACCACCAGGGGCTGCTGACTGTGGAGCAACAAGCGGGCACGATGTCGCACGTTCACGACTCAGAAAAACCGCCGCCACGCCAACTGGCGGTTGGCGGTTGACCTTTGGTTGTGTGATTGGGGGTACTGTGGTTTTTGGATGTTTTTGGTTGCCGATGGTTTTCTCTTGGTGTTGTATGCCTGCATGTGCCCATCATTGCCCATCTGTTGCACCCGGGCTGCGGTTGCAGAGTGCTAGGTCCCAAGATTGTACGGCGGGCATGACAATGCGCGAACTAAAAGCATTCTAGTTTTTTGGGACAATTGGAGCACAAGTACTACTACTACGTGCGTATTTTGGGTTACTGGCGTTTCTGTTGCTTTCTGCACAAGGAAGAACGAACGTTTCGGTGCGAATGTCGGGAGAAAATGAATTAACCACACAGGGTACTTGGAAATGAGGCCGGCAAAAGTCAAAAAACCTGTCGTGAAAACGGCGGGAAAGCATTCACGAAAAGCATTGGTGGTTGGAACCCCGCTGCAACCAGGTTTTCAACACAAATCACGAAAGCTAGCATCAGCTAGCTGGAGTTGCTCTTGCTTTAGCAAGTCAGGGGCTCGCAGCCTCGAGAATCATGAATCACGTGAAACTTCACGTGTAGGGACCCCCCCCCCCCCGCGGGTTCACCTCCCCCCCTGGGACGCTTCCGGAACGTGCTATAGTGCTATGTTTAGGTGGCAGGTGAAGTAGGCCACTGTTTGAGTGTTTGAGTTTGGAGGGGGGGGGCATGAAACGGGCTTGTCTTTTTTAAAGGTGTCCAGTTTATGTAGGGCTGGGATGTTCGACTTAGGCGAAGCATACCCCCGAAGCATACCCTGAAGCATACCCTCTGGAAATGCTACTACTTTAGTCTTCACACTGCGCGAAGCATACCCCGAAGCATACCCCCGAAGCATACCTCCGAAGCATACCCCATAGTCAAACATCCCGGCCCGGGAACCTTAAACAAATACAAACCCAAACATGAAATTTACGCCAGGGTTCAAGGCTTGAATGATGAGCATCACGGGAAGTCAGAAACCAGGCGTATCAGATACACGTGCCTTTGAGCTTCCTTCGGCATCTCAGTGCATATGGCTGACACTTCACTCGACAAAGATGCTCAAACAAACATACATAAACCAGGTGTATCTGATACGCCTGGTTTGTGACTTCCCGTGATGCTCATGATGCTGCGTTGCTTTTCTTCAGTCCCTCATTACATATACATGACGATCCAACAGCAGATTCAACAAGCTCACATGTTCATGACATCGACATCGATAGAAGAAACCAAACAAATCATGCAAGCAGCTTTGTTTTGCCTCTGGGACACCTCTTGGGCAGCTCTTATGGCATCCACACTGGTTCAACTCCTCCGTGGAGGTTTTGGGATACGGTGCAACAGATTCAACAAGCTCACAGGTTCGTGAACACATCGGATGCATCGAACAGTGTGGCAAAGTCCAGCCACGCTTCCGTAATTATCGGGGACTTCAATTCTAAGGTTGGCTGTGTCATTGCTGTTTGTGTGTCTTACATGTTCAAAACGTTTTACCTCATGAGCATTTGCCTCACTCCGCTTGATGTCCCACCAGTCCGGATGCACCCCTGCTAGCTTTCGTCACCTACCCTCGGCCTCAAGTTCAATTTTGAACTAATAAGGTTTTCCAATGATTCTATTGACGCCACTTAATGCGATTTGCATGTCCAGCACACGTGAACTTCCATGTCTTGTGCTTCCATCAAGGTCAGCATTTGAGAGATGCGTTCTGAATATGGCAATTTGCAAAGAGTTTTGGCTATGATGCCGCCCGCGCTTAAATGGGGGGACCCGAACTATCACGTTCCGAATTCGGTGTCGCTTTGGTGGTTGTTTTTTTACATGCGCGGATGGGGGGACGCCAGCCGCCGTAGCGTGTATATAATCAGTTGGCCGGGTAAGTCATTGACACGGTAAGGATAAATTCATGATGATGAGACCACCAACAAGTTCAAACCGCGCCACCCTGATCCCAATGAAACAGTCGCAAAGGAGCCTGGAACAATCCGAAGTCAACCAACTGGCCTCAACGGTTTACCGCTGTGCAATGCACCTCGGGCTGTGCAGCAGATGGAGTTCAATGGTTCCAGCCTGCATTCTCGCAGTCAGTCCCAGCAATGGCGTTGTTGTTATCATGATTCATCATGCATTCAGTCCGGTTGCTTCAATATTAGCACATCGGCTCTTCCCATATTTTCCACGATTTTGCTACTCCAACTGCGTTCTTGTGCACGTTTTCCAAACCTCAGGATCCCAGCCCAACATGTAACATGTTTTTTTCAACCCGTTTCCTTGCATTCCCTGATGGTGCGCCCGCGGTTGCTCGCCAAAGTTGCGCGCTCGTTGCCAGGCAAGGGATTTTCCGTTAAGCGCATGCCATGCCGCTGATAATCTGGCTGCGAGGCGCCCGATGGTTTACCAGAACAGCTGCCACACAGGCCAGCTGCGGTTTTGTTGAAACCTTGACTGCTAGAAAATATTTGTTTCATGATGCGAACATACTTGAGTTAATGTTTCCGGCGGCTTGCTTCGTTTTTCCGAGTCTGTGCCCGACCTGGCCAAACGCGGGCTGCAATTTGCCAACGTCCGACGCTGAGACACTTCAAGCGGCCGGCCAGGCCCCTTCCCAAAAACATGATGGAACGGAACCAGGTTCGCAAGTGCCACGCAGCGTTTGTCATCAGGTTGGCCGCGCCAACTTGGCCACTTCGCGGGATGAACTGCAGGCTTACTCGCCGAACGTGACATGGTGTGATTGCCAGGTATGGTATGTGGCGGCGGAAATGTTATTGTATATAGCGGAATATTATGTTGATCTTATGAAATTGCGGGTTACAAAACACTATAACAAACACCATCAAAACATATCAAAACAGTGGTTTGCGAACAAGCACCATCAAAACAGTGGTTTGCATTTACATGTGCTTTTTTACGAAAGCCAGCCTTCGTAGAAGGCGCCAGCTCAGGTGCGCTCAGGCGCCAGCTCAGTAGGTAGGGGGTCTGGGGGGGTGGCCCGAGAAAGGTACACGTAAACTCGGCACATGCTGGGGGAGGAGGGTGCACGGATGGAAGGTTTTGTTTTGGAGGTGATGTTTTGGTGATTTTGGAACGGGTGGTGATGCAAGAAATGTTTTTTGCTTTTGCATCATCTGAATGTGGATGGTTTCTCAAGGGTTATCTAGCGGCTTCGGGAAAGGGAAATTGAAGTGCCATACCATGCAACTGAATTGTAGTTACCTTGGGTCCGTATAAATGCTATTGTGCTATAATACTTCCGACACACCTATATAAGTTCAAAGCACTAATGAGACTGGAGGGGGAACTCGAAGTGCAACATCATTGGATCATTGGATATTCGATCGCAATCCCCTCTTTATGTGTAAGCTATCCCGTGTAGACTATCCTTTTGCTGGGCAAGAGATTGCGACTCCTTACCATTGGGTCCGTATAATGCTATTGTGCTATACTTCCGACACACCTATATATGTTCAAAGCACTAATGAGACTGGAGAGGTAACTTGAAGTGCAACATCACTGGATCATTGGATATTCGATCGAAATCCCGTCTTTCTGTGTAAACTATCCGGTGTAAACTATCCTTTTGCTGGGCAAGAGATTGCGACTCCCTGACAGAATCATGATTACTGTACATGGACAAGAGGCCCCTCCTAAAAAGACTCTAGCGGCTTCGGGAAAGGGAAACTGAAGTGCTATACCATGCAACTGAATTGTAGTTGCCTTGGTTCCGTATAAACTATAAATGCTATTTGTGCTATACTTCCGACGCACCTATATAGGTTCAAAGCACTAATGAGACTGGAGAGGGAACTTGAAGTGCAACATCATTGGATCATTGGATATTCGATCGCAAACCAACTTGTTAAAACTATCCTGTGTAGACTACCCTTTTGCTGGGAAGGAGATTGCGACTCCCTACCTTCTTGCGCGGACCCTGCTTAGCTAAGCTTGGCTAAGCCTAGCTTTGACTTATAAGAGTTAGTTAAACTTAGCTAAGTCCGAGTCAAGTCGGACTTAGGCATGCGACTTAGATTCGATTTAGCTTTGAGTTAGCTGTGACTTAGCTCGGACTTAGCTAAGTCGGCTAAGTGGGCTAAGTCTATGTTGGCTAAGTCTATAGGTGATAGGTTGGCTAAGTACCAGCGGCCAGGCCGCGCAGCGACAGGTCATTTTTCGCGGCACTTGAAAAGACAGTTTACAGTCAGACAGTCAGTGTCAGACTGTCAGACTTTTTTCTGGCAGCCTTTTCCTTTTAATGTAGTCTACGGTCAGAAAGTGTCATTTTTTTCTGACAGCCTTTTCCTTTTAAAGCAGTCTACGGTCACATAATTTGTTCTGACAACATTTTCCTTTTAAAGTAGTCTACGGCCAAACTTAGCGGACTTAGCCAACTTGGCCTTAAGTCGAAGCTAACTCTTCTAAGTTGGCTAGGCCCCGGCCTAAGTGTTTACTAACCTTTATACCTCTTACTAAGTCAAAGCTAAGTCAGCTAAGTGACTTACATAAGATATGGGACTTATAACCTAGGTTATTATAGGTTAGGGTAGGTTATAACCTAGGTTATAAGTCAAAGTTAGAGCAGGTCCGTGCAAGTTGGGTCCGTATAAATGCTATTGTGTTGTACTTCCGACACACCTATATAAGTTCAAAGCACTAATGAGACTGGAGAGGGAACTTGAAGTGCAACTCACTGGATCATTGGATGTTCGATCGCAATCCCGTCCTTCTGTGTAAACTATCCTGTGCAAACTATCCTTTTGCTGGGCAAGAGATTGCGACTCCCTGACAGAATCATGATGACTGTACATGGACAAGAGGCCCATCCTAAAAATAATCATTTCCGCCGCAACAAGGTCGATGTTTGGATGGAGTGTCAGTGTTTTTCCTATTTGCATGGACCGTTTTCCGCTGCCCTGGCTCATAGGAGACGTCTCAATACGTCTCAGCTTTCATGCAACTTCTGACGTCTCAGCTTTCATGCAACTTCTGAAGTTTTCACTATTAACTCTTGGCTGCTTTGCACCCTTGTTTCACCGCAGCCGTGCCGCTCGTGACAAAATAACGCTGGCTTTCGTTTTGCAGCTTCTCAGGTATGCACTGCCAATTGTTTGCTGGCGTCGCGCAATTCAACTGGAAACCAAGGATGGCTGCCCGTGGTCCTGGTTTTGCTTCAGGTGAGGGTGGTTAGATTTTATCAGGGCTGTTCTCCTTACTCCGCCTCCGCGCCACGCAGTGCCAAACCGCAGTGGGCACCACCGGACCCCAACAGCAAGTAGCAGATCACAGTGGGCACGGGCGGCCCTCAACAACAAGTCCCGGACCTCAACAGACGCGCATTTCAGTGGGCACTACGGGACCCCAACCGGAAGTGCCAGATCGCAATACCGGACCCCCAACAGCAAGTGCCAGATCGCGGTGGGCACTACCGGGGTTGACAAGGGACTGCCCCACAATCATGTGGCAATTGGTGTTTTTGCTTTGGTGGGCGCCAGGAGCTTCAACGGCAAGTCGCGGGCGCCCAGATGACCAGTGATCCGTTATAGTCCGTTTGCACGTTTGGTTGAAGCATGTTAAGGTTTACTGTTTTACTGCCATATGAATCACACATCGTGCCTTCACCGCAAATGCCTACACGTAAACATGCTATTGCACTTAGGCCTTGCTTATTTTTTTCAATCGACCGGGTTGCTCTTCAAAATTCGAGGTGGCCGCTGTGGGCACTGATGCGTTGATCGCAGGCCAGTTCCCCGATCGATCGTGAAGGATCAGGGAGGTCCCATCACTGGAGTTTTGCGAGTCGGGTAGGCTTCTGATTACATTTCAACCCTCGAAACTACAAAGAACAAAGCTCTACATTGGGATATGTTGGGATAGTTGTGTTCTTTCCCGTATGGGTGCACTAGGTTTGTATTTTCAGGGGAATATGTATTTTTCCTCCCGGTTGCTGAGCAGCAAATCCAAGATCAAAACATAAACGTTCGCCATCAAAACTATCGTGCACACCTGGAGACTGGCCAGTAAAAACACAGTCGCCCCCACGACGTCCTGCGTAAATATATATATATATATACGTACATATATTATATATCCTTGTAGTATAGATATATATACATAAGGATATCAGTCGGCAACCGTATCGAAGAAAGCCTTCGTGTTTGATCTTGTTTGGCTACTCTGCTGGCGGTCTACCGGGGGCAGCAGCACTGGAAGACTCACATGACCTGGCCTTCTTGACAGGCTTATCCCGCGTCCAATGCCAGGTGCCGAACTTCAGGACCTATGCCGCCTTTCGCGGGCAGGGGCCGCAGTCGGACGCTTCTGGTGCGCACACCGCAGCGCCCCAAAAACCTGGAATTCTGCACTGAATACAACAGAAAGTGATCCTTGACACTGGACACGTTCCAACCAACCGCCTTGGCTGAGCGTGAAGAATCGAAAACCGAGGTTTTATCCAGTTCGCTGACGCCGTTGGAGGTGGGGCCATGGTGGGCCCATGAAACCCCATGTCAATTGCCAGTGTGTTTCTGTGCCTTTTGTTTCTCCATCGTGCACACTGCCCGAACTTTACAGAGCCAGCAGCCTCGGGAACGTGAGCCTGTTGAAATTCGGTCTTGGTCTCGGACAAATTTGGCACATACTCGTACTACGGCACACGATTACTGTATCACATTCTGGGAGGGCCGATGCTTGCGCATCCATGATACCCACAATGCCCTGCAAATTTTGTGAGCAGAGTGGGGCTGATCAACACGAGGAGCAAGAAAAACAACACCGATAGATTATAAAATCACATAAACGCTGACCATGGTCCGTGTCATAGGCAGCGTCATTGATTTTTCCGGTTGTTCTTCTTTTTTGTCCTGCCCCAGGGCCGCTTCTTCGAAATGCTCGGAGAGAAGGTGATGAAGACACCAGGTTCGATCGCTTCGGTGCTGAACATTGGCGCACAGTTTGGTTGGTTGGCTGTCAACATGCGCAGATTTCACCGTCTTGGATTTCCTCAAACAAGGAATGAAACACCTGGTGTGGTGGTATGTGATCGTGTGATCTTGCACCGTTCTTCTGGTCATCGGTTTGTGTGGCCGAGACGTGCCGTGTGAGCGGTGGGTTTGGTTGGCTGGATGAGACTTAAACCTTCTAATCTAGACACCCTCTTGTGTGCGGTGGGATTGCTACTTTGTGTTCACTTGCTCATTTGCTTTCCGTGCCTTCTCTTTGTAGTTCCTTCGTAGACGTGCCCCCCCCCAAAAAAGAAGAACACTCTCACTGAGTGTGCCATAGATCATAGTTTCGGCGCTTGCAGCTGTTCTTGCAGACCAAGGGACACCTAGGAGGCACAGAGAGCGCTGAACGCGGCGTCCTCTTGGGCTGACAGCATATTGATGAGGCTGAACATTGGTGCGGTCAAGACAGCTGCTTTACGAGGGTTCGCTCGTGAGCCGATGGTGTCATTGAGAGTTCATGGTCAACCCTTGCCTGAAGTTGATTCCTATCGGTACTTGGGCGGCATTCTCCATTGGGCAGGTTCTCATGGGCCTCTGCTTGATGACTTGCAGTCCCGGCTCCGCTCCAAGACTGGCCAGTTCCTTCGTTGGGTTTGGGCCAAGCAGGTGCCAATCTCCTTGCTCTGTCAGTTGTGGGCCGTATATGTCGAACCCATAGCAAAGTTTCTACTGCCAACAATCGCATTGAGCAGGAGTGAGCTACAAAAGGTGGACCTTATACAGCGCAAACTGGCTGGGATGATTTTAGGACTTCCGAAAAGATCTCCAATTCCCTGGTTGCTCAAATTGAGGCGGCGAGAAATCACCTTTGCCTGTATCATTTTCCAGTTGAGGCAGTGGCTCTGGCCATACAGAAAGGACAGTGCCCGGCAGTGATTTTTGAGCGTGCAAAAGTCTCAGTTCAAGTCTCCGCAGGGGCTCAAGGAGGGGGACCGAATGCGTTACCCATCTACTTTGCCAAAACATCTGTGCCAATATTGTGGGCAGCTTGGGCGCGTCAGTCCGGATGATTTGAAATACTTTTTGCATGAGTGCAGGGCGCAATTTCTGCAAATGATGGAGCCTTCAAGTGGATGCTGGATCGGCCGTGGGACCTGGCGGCGCTGCAGTCATCGCAAAGACTGCGGGTGCACCGAACCTTGCTGCAATGTGGCAAGCGGCAAGCGCGCAAGAAATGGGGTTACGGTCCTGCGCTCAGAGTAGATAACTTCGCTCTTGGGTTTTCCTTGGCTGTCCTAGGGAATTGCTAGCGGTTCTCCAGGGAAGTCGCAAGTCGCTCGCCGAGCGCGAATCGCCGTGGGCCACGAGAATATATAAAAATAGTCATTGCGCATCATTGCGCTGAATAGGACCCAAACGCGGGGCGGCAACCTTTACTTGTGCATTTGGGGTTGTTTAATTGACCCCCGTTCCTGAAGCCAAGATTCATTCAAATTTATTGCCCGATGCCTTTGCAGAACAGATGTCCATTTCCAAGCTGCCACAGATGCGCATCCGGATGCCTTCGCGCACTTTGCCTTGGCAGCTGCGGAGGCTTTCGGGTGCCTGCGCGATGTTGTGCCAGACACCACGTGATGACAGACAGAGATCCTCCATGTGCGAATGTCCACCCCGAATCTACTTTGTCAAATTACGTTAGAACATGTTAGAACGACTGCTGGCTGAAGCAGTCACCAGACTTTGGTCATTTGAGCATTTTCCACTGGCTCATCAACAATTGATCCTAGGAAAATTAACTTGCAATTGAATCGACACGAGGGTATGCGGCCTGAACGGTCAATGTAGTGCATTTGTTCTCCACAAATCTATCAAGTGTCCAACATCGTTTTTTGGTGTGGCAACACGCCGCCCACAAGAGTTCCGAATGAATCGGTCACCTCTTGGGGCGCCAAATGGATCACAGGAACCAGCCTACAGCCTAAACATCCTGATTGGTGCTTAGTAAAGAACGCAAGAATGGATCTAGTGGAGGGTCATTCCGTCATCCCCTCGTAAGCACCAGTCAGCATGTCCAAATGTGTTTCCGGAATGTGGTGGGGTGGGTTCCGGAACACGATGTGGGATTCTCAGATTCAATCTCCTTGCAACAATTGCAGTATATACTTTGAAGCTGCTGGTTTTACTATTGAGTTATGGCTGTTAAGGACATTAGCTAAGTAATTAATAACTAGTTGATACTAGTTGTAGGTGTTTATAAACTAGTTAGCAAAAGGTTGTTTTTCGAAAATTCTATTGACGTTTTTTCAAAAGTGACAAAGACAATTTTGCATTTTTGTTTTGCAAAAAAGATATTTTTACTTTCAAACTAACTATTGGGCAACGAAAAACACAGAACAAGTACATCCCAGGAATGTTTCAACCAAACATGTTGGTATTTAAAATTTCAATTCATACACCATGATTTGTTTTTTCCAACCTAGGAAGCTTCCAATGATTTCGCAATGACAACAAAATGTGCTGCATTGTCCATTGTGTTTTGGTTTTCCAAAGTGCTAGAAAAAAGTCTCCAATTGCAGCGTAAAATGTTTTTACAAAAATCAAAGAAAATTGCAGCTACAAGCAGCTGATTTTGCAGGTGGTGCTGCAACATAGGCATATCCTTCAAGAGCCTATACAGGCAGTAGCCTTCAGTGGCGCAAAACCACAAACCAGAACAGAAGCTTGCAAAAGCTAACCACCGACCAGAACATAAGCTTGCAAAAGCTATGTGCAAATGTGAAGTATACATTGTAATGCCCATCTGGCTGGTGCACCCTATTCACAAACGATGGCTTGAGCATCTTCATCACCATCCAAAGTAGTGTCGCCAATGATATACGGGTTTGCCACTTCCATTTGCAGCTGCTCACCATTTGCAGGCTGTGATGACATGGCTGCACTCTACAGGACTAGTATAGACCAACACTTTGCATGTGTATCACACACTGCAAGAGCACATAGAATTGTAAATGTGCATGTGGATTAAATGGTGTTCAATCATGAATTTCCAAGACAACAAAAGTATTTGAGCCTGTAAACGGTTATGACCTTGGATCCAAACTACTGAATCCCTGAATTCAAAATATCATAGTCTGTGATTTTGAATTCAAATCACTGAATTCAAAATCAAATTCTGTGATTTTGAATCATTTTCTGTGATTTTAAAACACTGAATTCAAAATCAAATTCTGTGATTTTGAATTCAAACCAAAATTCAATTCCCTGAATTCAATATCATTTTCTGTGGTTTTGAATTCAAATCACTGAATTCAAAATCAAATTCTGTGATTTCGAATTCAAATCCCTGAATTCAAAATCATATTCTGCGATTTTGAATTCAAATCCCTGAATTCAAAATCATACGCTTTGAATTCGAAAACCAGCCTACACAGGCTAGAATGTATGCCTGTAGAGGCTGCCATTTTTTGAGCCTATACAGGCTTCTTCACTGATCTCCAATTCTTTTTTCATTCTTGAAAGTCTCTCGAAGATGCACAGTCATGACAGATCTATTCTAGATCCACTTGTCATACGCCCTCTCACCATGCTGCTCAACCTGTTTGCTGAGCATCTCCATGGGCTTCCTCAGGCTATGGCGCTCTGCCAACCTTGTCAGCGCCTTCTTGCGGTACTTGATGTGTCCATTCTTGTATGCATGGACAAGGGCGCAGGCTTTATTCATCCAACCACGAGGCACATCATTCTCAGGGTCCTGAGTCCTGAGTTGATAGATCATAGACACATACACTTGACTTGGGAATCTAATTTTTTATTTATGTTAATGTGTATATTTTGAGCTTTGACCAAATACATACTCAATGATGAAATCATTCAAGGTACAGTGTAGTCCCTCCACTTTGACCAGTTTGAATTGCCCCATGATGCAACTGCAAGGCATGCCATGAATCTGCACAACACCTGGTGTTTGAGTGTGCTTGTTCTTGCCACACATTGTGATTTGAACCACCAAGCCACACACATGCCAAACTTATAGCCTTTGGAATGCTGGCTCCACAAGCGCCTTCACGGGCAAAACCTTGCATCAGCTGGTAACCAAAAGGACTCATTGAGCATACACCTGCTGAATATGACTTCATGGGCAGAAGCTTTCATCAGCTGGCAAACAAAAATATTCATTATAGTGAGCATACATTTGCTTAAGATGAAATCAGCTTCCAATGTTGAAACAACTTGTGCAAGCTATATCTTCTGTGGTACACAAACACAAATTTTCTAGTGAAAACTTGAAAACCTTTAGCGAGTAAACATAAAACAAATTTGCTAAAACTGTTTTTTTGATATCTGTATCTTACATTATTTTTTACTAACTTCTTTAGATTTTTAAGACAATTAAACATGTTACTGTAAAATTTTAAAAAACATTAGATAACTCACTTAACCAACAATAAACTTTGAAACAAATATAACAGGTTATAACAAGTTATAACACCTTGTTAGTGAATTATAATATCCTTGTAGTGTATGTAGTAATAGTCTTAACAGCCAGAACTCAGTAGCAAAACCAGCAGCTTCACACCGGTTACTGGCCAAAGAAGTCGGTTGATCTCATTGCTTGACAGTTTGCTGTACTACGGCGATCCTGACAAAGCATTCAAGACCATGCTAGACTGACACCCCTGGTAAACCCTTCGATTCATGTTGGTAGGTCAACCAGGACCTCCAGGTCTTGAAGCGTCGTGAAGTAGCCACCCATGGTGAAATAGCCAAGTCGTTCGTGCCAGGCAGGCCACTTGGAACTTAGCCAACAAATCGTGGAGGCCCTTGGATGCTTCCCGTTGCGAAACGTAGAATATCATAATAGATAATAGCAGGTAGAACCTTCCCCGTGTCTCCTTCCTGTTGCTGCCTTTTGGATAGAGGGAACGATCGTGTGTTCGTGAAGGATTGCTCCATTCAGCATTCAACCTTGGGCTGAGAGAACATTGTCCACATGGAAGGTATTGCACCATTTCACCAAACACGTTGAAAGCAAAGCCTTTAGTCAAACCACTTCAGCGTGCATGTTTCTTCTTTGCACCAGTCGCTCTGTTTGGGTGGGGCTACTGTGTCCGGGGCCTTGGCTGGGCCGAATGGATCCGAATGGGTCAGCGTGTCAGATCGGGCAATGGGTTGCACATGATTAGCTATGATGTAGAGAAACAAAAGTAGTTGAATTGATAATCAGTTATCCATTCACCATCATTCAACACTGAAGCTGGGTTTGTGGGTGGGGCACGTTTGGCCTGAGTGACTGCTGCATGTTTGGTGTTTGCGTGCGGAAAGGCCCCATTGATGTTTTTCGTCGGACACCTGCAATCCTTGGTCGCCTTAGTCTTGCTCCTCAATTGCATGGCGCATTGCTATCAAGTTGAATCTCAATCTTCTTTGTTTTTCCCTTTCCGAGCCTCTTCAAGAGCTATATAGTCTATTTGATGTTTTCAACAGTCAGTTCTCAAAGGTAGACTGAACGTTGAGCCTTTCGCATCCTTTCGCTATGCCTTTCAGACATCCGATTTCGTCTTCAGACACCGCTAGGTTTGGAGGCTCTGGTGGGGAAGCCCAGGTGGGCGGTACGGCCGGTGATCGATGGCCAGGTGAGGGATGCGGTCCTTCACGGTGGGTCGGGGCGATCAATTGACATCCCGAATCACCTTGAAGGGTCTGGGCCCTGGGCCTCGATATGGTGTGATGTGAACCTCACTTAGTTGATTTGCATGGTGTGTATAATATCATGACGGTCCCGAAAGATGCTGACTGAGAAACATGGGGTGGATGGTGACTTGCAAGGAGCATCAAGGAGCACAGGTCAACCACAATCCATGAAAAAGAGTGGAAGGCAGGTCGCTTTGTCCACCTGCAAACATGGAAGCCGGAAGCCACTTCTACATCCAATGGTTTTCTTTAGAACTGGATGTGCTGGTGTGGTGTTTTCCCTTGTTTGGGCCCAAGTTTGGGCCCTATGATTGCTCTAGACTCGTTATGACTTGTCGCTTTTGGCGGGGTTGATGGAGAGTCCGTCGGAACTCTCGTTTGGGATCCGGGCCGGGCCGGGGCCACAAAGACAAAGAAGTCGGGCGGGCCGCAACGAGGAGAGCATCCAAAGAATGGCAGTCAGCGAAACAAAGACACAAACATACACAAACTTTTGCGCAAAAGACGATGCTTTTAATCAAGTCCAAGGGGGTAATTAGTCATTAGATGTCATTCGTGGCTCAAAATTGACGACCCTGTGATGGGAAAGATTGGGAAAGTCATATTCTGGTAGGAATTTCTCAACATGTGTGTTTGAACTGGTTTAATTAACCACCCACCAGGTGTGTCTCCAGCATTGATTGACACAACACTACAGACATGTTTGTGATAGAGCTATGGGTGTGCATTACATTAGGGGGACCTCCCGGTTTAAAAACTCATTTGTTGGGTGTCTTCCTATTAAATGCTCACCACCCGTGGTCATTGGTGTGCGGCTGTTTGAGGTGCGAGTGCCTTGGCATTAAGTGCCGCAGCCACTGGCGCCCTGAGGGCGCCCCTGTTCGAGGCGCCCCTGTTCGGGGTGCCCTTTATCAGATTGCAGCCTAAGAGCATTGAATATTTCATGCAATTTCAGAGGTTGTAGGGCTTGGGAGAAACTAGCAGACTACAACGTTCTGTCTATAGACATTCTATATTATGATATTGCAATATGTAATATGATGTGCTCCGTGCTCCTCAGACTTCTCAAAGTCCAACTGACTAAGGTATGATAGTACCTTTTGTCGTGTTGAATGGGGTGACTTGGGAACGATCACGTGTGAACCGGCCCAATAGATCGTGCGGGTGCACCGGTTCAATATCAGATGTTGTGTTCATTCCCCACTTCATGCACTGAAAAGTGTGCCGCTTCACTTTGGACCACCGAGTTGCTTGACGTGACCAGCATCTAGCCAGGCATTGATCCGCCGCTGCTCTGCCGCCTCCCAAGTAGCGCAAGAAGAGCCGCAAAAGCAGACAGACCCCCATGAATTCCTACAAATGGGGTTGCCAACTTGAGCTTCACTGGTGCTGTTGGAAAATCTAAGTAGCAGACCTGCACACTGTGCAGAATGTTGGAACGCATCCATATTATTATCAAGTCGCAGTCTTGAATCTTAACAATCCAGGGGCAGAGGTGACGGAGAACTGCCTCTAAGCGAAGACCCAGCCGAGTGTGGACGATAATTTTGGAGATATGCCGATTTCCAAGCTACCAGCTACCTGGCCAGACCCTGGCGAGAGGGAACCTGTCAAGTTTGTTGGAGGGAACCTGTCAAGATTCTAGCGAGCACCCTCTTCAAGACATTCCTCGGAAGTATGTCAGCACAAGCCTTGATGCTGACCATTCTCAGCCGATTGGTGGGATTCTTCTCGGGTTGCTCAATAGTCAAAACCTTCCCAAAATGCTCAAGATTCCTGAGAAGCTGGGTTTGGGGGGTCTAACCACCTTCTGAGGATATGGTTGATGACAGGATATAACCACCACGCTCCACTCTAGGTCCAGGAGATGGATTTGACCGCGGCGCAGTTGGGAGATTTGCGACTTTGCGCACTGCTAGCAGCAGGCCTCCGGGATTGGACAATCGAAGCAGAACAGGCCCAACTTCTAGAGGAATTAGCTATCCAGGGGCCACATGTTCCACAATGTTCCACATGTTCCACTTCCCTGATTGCTTCAGGAAGTGTAAATGCACATGGCCCCCCAAAGGGCTAGCGGCTATTTCTGGCCGTATATGTCAATCAGAGGTGTGGTGTTTGTGTTTGACATTTGGGGACGTTGAAAAGGTATGGTATGGTCTACAAAGAGGTCACTTATCATCTTGTCAACGTTCGCTTTGCTCGCCAGATGTGCTGGAGCAGTGTGATAGCCACACAATCAGTTTCCTGCCGTTTAGCTCAGCTGGGCGTTCACGCGCGGGGGTTTATTTGTGCAGCTGATTTCCACTGTTCCAGTCTTCAACCAGGATAGTGTCAGTCAGATAATTACTTTCACAAAGAGGAGTCAACAATCAGATGACTCATGAGCTTTGTGGGTGGCACGCAGAACATTTGCAGAACGGGTAGACTGTGATCCAATTGGTCCAAGCCAGTCTTCGAGACGGCGTGGGATTTTTTGGTCCCCCAAAGAGTCCTCTTGAAGAGACCCTTTCTGAACATGGTAGTGACTGAGAGTGGGGGTCACAATGGAACAATCCATGATGCACATACAAGACATCACAAATCAGCTTCAAGTGTGCATGATTGGGAGGGGATTAGAGGGCATACACCCCACCTGCTCCATCCAGCTCCCCTCATAGGGGGCCCTTGACTGCCGCAGTCACTTCTAGGCGAACCATGTGCAAGGACGTGCTCCTAGCAACCCGGCACCGCAAACGACGGACCTTGATCACGCATCGTTGACGGTGAACATGTCTCACCCAGTCACTCGGTCAGGGCCGTCTGGGCCGTTGTTTCCCAGGTTTTCACTGGTTCATCATGATTTCCCGCCTTGGCAAGAGAACGATGAGGCATGATCAGAGTGCACATATATGACTGTCCCTAGGGCTCCAAGTACCTCCTCAGGACCTCAGAAGGTATTTGGACCCTCTAAACCCACCCCAAACACCTTCTTAGAAGGTACTTGGAGCCCTGGGGTGTAACAGTCCAGATGAGTCAGAGTATTTTTGAGAGTTTGGTCACCCAGCTTCTTTGTAACAAAAAGGGGCCACCGATGGACTTTCTGGGGCTGAAGGATGTGAAGATCTCCGGTGCATCAAAGCCTCTCTCACCCCACCAAACCATTGTAGGTTCCAAGGTTCACTTCCCTTATGAGACTAAGCTGTTGCGCACCGGGAGGTGCGCCTGGGGGGCATCTCCCGTTGCTTCCCCGGGTCGCAGGGGACTTAGGAGCCACGGGAGTTGGAGCCGAGGACGATCCCCGTGGAGCTCCGCCCAGCTGGTCGAAGTACTCGGACCGGGGCGGTGGTTCCGCGAAGCTGTGGCGCAGTGGAAGAGTAGTGAGGTGGCGAAGCTCTCGTGGAATGCACATGGGACTCACAAACATCACAAACAGTGTTTACTAGAGTTTACTAGATATTATACTACTTACTGCACTAGAGTTTTAATATGTTTTAATGCTATTGAATGCTATTGATATTGTTTATTGTGATTCCCTTGGCCATGATCTCTAAATTTGTGACGTGTAAGCACACTTAGTTTTATGAGGTCCTTGTCGCATCACAATTAGTCATTGCAGTTGTATGTCATCCTCCAGCCGGTTACCGGTTGGGTTGAACCATCACACAAAATCCAGTGCGACTCATTGGATTTTGTTCGACACTCTCGTCGCTTTTGTGGCAGTTTTCGGTGTCAGGTTGGATGAATGACCCCCCTGGAAAATCCCGGTCGTCTCGCAGAGTAAGCTTTACATGTTGACTGACCTCTTCAGGAGGTGCTGCAGTCATAAGGGGGACTCTTTTTTTGAGGGGGCGGGAGGTCGTCCAACAGCACGACGAACGTGGAACATGGAAAGCACAGGACTTCCTGACGAATGGCGAGCACGATCTCTCACAGGCTCGGCTCGACGATGAGATGAGCAAAACGGAGAGTCTGACCAGACGGCAGTGGTGTGGAGCTTACTTACACGACAAAGCTTATTTACTCAGTCACCCAGAGTCATCAATTTCTTGATCTTGTGAACCTAGTACTAAGAATGCTCCCAGTAGCGATGCCAGGAGCCCCGAACGTAGCTGTACAATTCCCCATAGTGGTGACCACTTTGGTGCAGATGTGCAACCGCACCATGGAATTCTTTTTTGTCCAGGCTCGCCTGTCGTGCTACAACGAAATCGTTAGTTCCGGAATCGGATCGACCTCGACCTCTCGAAAGTGGATCACCTGCCCAAGCTTTTTGTTGTTGGTTTCCCTACTGAAGTCCAACAAGTGAACAAAGGCCAACAGGCTAATTATCCAAAGGAAACACTCTAGGGGGGTCAAGTTGAACCCTGATGAGTGTTTTTAAATATTAATGTTTTACTACTGCTCCGATCCGACCACGGACCATACCTGGTGTGTAGCTCAAACAGGCGTTCCGACCCTCTTGAAGGTTCGAGAAATAGAAGAAGTAGACCAGTCAACGGAGCGGGCGAGGGAAAAGGACCTCCTTTTCCCTCTTAAAATAGCTTTAAAGTAAAATCCACCACCCCGTTTGAGCTTGCGATCCCTCGAGGTACTGGAGTCCTTCGAGCTGCCCCATTGTTGGGATGCCCATGGGCGAACATGAGACGGCATGCAGTGCGACGCCGTCCACGGTCGCGCTGTGAGACACCTGGACCTGTGGCCTGGGCCAGACGCTGGATGTATGCCATTTTTGCCCACATGCGGGGTGGTGGCGGGGGCCAATGTAAGCAAATAAATCCTTGTTACCATGCTAATCATACCACAAACGGAGTGTTTGGCCTTTTTCGAAGCTGGAAGAAAGCTCCGAACAATTGGCATCCCCTGCAGGAATCAGTGAGCTGTAGGATGCTGTAGGTGATGTGAGCCCTCGTGGCTTCGCACGGCTTGCCAAAGCCCCCGCCCACACTCGCAGCCACATGGGCCTTGCCAGCGACACCACCAACACTCACAAGGCGAAGCGTACATTGGCCTAAGGTCAACACATGATATAAGACACCCTTTGCTACAGACACAGCATGGCGTCTTGATGCTTTTTTGTACGTGTCGATCCCCTCTTGCAGAATCATCGCCCAAAAGCTAGGAATTGGGTTTACCACCGCTTTTCGGAAGGGTCTTCTTTCGGTGGACCGCCGCCACTGCCACGCCACGGCGAGCCGGAGCCGCACACGCCGGCGCTCGCAGCATGCAACCGCAGGTCGAGGGACCATCGTGAACGGTGCCTTCTTCCCGCTCACCAGCGACGCCAGGACCTCGGCGGAGGATTTGGGGAAAAGAATTGGTGGAAAGAAGGCGGAAAATGGGTGGAAGGCTCATGTTCAAATTGCTTTCAAAGGTGGCGGATGAACTTGGATGGAATTTTTGCTGAAAGGATTCCTGCACCAGACGGGATATTTCGATCCAACTTTCCAACTGGCGCAGTCTCCTCAGCTCTTGCGGAGTGGCTATCCTAGCCACTCGCACGAGGCAATGAAGGCAGTGATTTGCCTCGAGACCTTTGATGCAGGCGGGTGGACTGGGCCATCGTCAAACGTTGCCAATGGCTTGACCCGGTGACCATTTCAGCTGGTTTCCTGAAGCTATTGAATAGAGGGGGGTGTGTATTGAAATAGGGAGACCTCCCAAAGACCCCCCGGAAGAAGGGAAATAGATCAACAAAAAGTAATTAGCACCTCGCTAAAAAACGGGCGCGTTTCGATCTCAACCACATCGGGTTTTCCTGGTTTTTGGAACCCAGCATGAATGTAGGACGCTTGAAACACCAGGAGCGTCTCGTTGACGAAGTCTCCAAGTCCGAAGATGTGCCAGCAGCCATCGAGCGCAGTTGCGAAACCGTTGCGACCCAGCACAGATCCTGTGACCTTGCACGAGTAGATGGTGGTCGCGGTCGCGGTCAATGCTGCGCAAGTGAAACCCATATACCTATTGCACCTCAGATCGTGATACACGCTGTTTGCGAAGAAGACCGGCGAATCGTCGCGCTTACTGTACTGTTAGCAACTCTTCGGCCATGTTGAATCAAATAAATGATTCCCTCAGCCTGCGACGGGGCGGTGTCAGGTGCAGCCTATGTGAAAGGAGAGGGGCGTTGTACCTGGCAATGCTGGAAGTGACCCACATGGGAATGTGTTGTCCTATTATTGCGGAAGCCTCACATGGAGCCTTTTCAGCCCTCAGAGCCGACCGAGTCGTCATCGCGATGTTCGACGTCGACTCCGGATTTGGGAGTTGTCATCGCCCGTTTGGAGCGCTGGGTTCCTTTTCCTGGCGGGGTTGTGTAGGGCCGAGAGAAGATTCTTCGAGAGTAGATTGAGAGGTTGCTATCTACACTTATGTACTGGCTGGAATAGGTCTCCTGCAGGCATAACGTACAGGAGGACTCCGCAACAAACATTGGTCTATAGTCCATTTTTGTCTTCTTTTGATATCAGGTCTTCCAAGAGTTGACCCAGCGGAGATCGCAGCTAATTCGCGGCCCACACGGCCATGAGAGGTACCGTGTGGCCACGGCAGCGGGATGGCGCGTGCGCAGTCTGGCCTACTGGAGGGAAATTGACCACTGGCTTGACCCAGATGCTATGTATAGGGAGACTATTGAAAGTACCACCTGAGCATGTCGAAGAAGCAGCGGTTTTAAAGTTTACCACGGGCAAAGCCTTAGCTTGAGGGCCGTCGTCTATGAGGATAGGGTTTCTTGTTGCTCGGCTCACAGTTATTGGAGGTGCTAACAATATTGGCACTGAATTTGAACCTATCATAATCCACACAACCGTGGTTTTCCTTGACCCCTTCCAGCCATGATGCGTTGCTCCAGGTATATGCCATAGGACCGCAGGAATGGAAGACGATCCAGAAGAGCGAAGAAAAGGCCAATAAATCAGACAAAGAATAGAATGAATGAGATGCAATGGTGCTTGCTGAGGGCAACTGAAGATGTTGAGCGATAGCCTTGAGCACTGTCCCGCAAGAGTTCGCAGTTCATGAGTAAACCTTCTCCGCTTTTTGTGGTTATTGCAGCAATTTTCTCGCAGACCGAACAATTTCACCGCGCAGTTCTGGTATAGCTGGGGTATAAGTTATGCAGTTGTGGGCCGTTTGGCTCAATTCTTTCAGCTGCAGCCAGGTGAGCTTTGTCCGAGAGCTCTTGCAGAGACCACCTCTGGCAACTCAGCTGCATACTGGAGCAAACACCACCGGTCAAGAAGTTATTGGGCACCTGCTTTGCGGAAGCAGTCGATGGTTGGATATGTTGACCAAGACTTATTGAGGGAACATCTTCGTGCTGACATTCATGATCATGCTCCTTGTAAACTTGCACGGATTAAAACTAAACTCCAAACCACGCAATGCCATACAAAACAATAAACAAACAGCTGTCGCTGTTACGTGACCAAACATGTGTTCCCGGAAGGCAAAGATGATCCATGATGATCCCATAGATTGAACATGTCATGAAAGGTAGCTTCAGCTCGATTGCACTTCCCTTAAGTCTTGACCGCCCCTACCCAAATCGTCCACCCCCTCCCCCTCAAGCTTTGAACTTTGGAGAACGATGTGCAGGACGTGGCCAGCCTTTGATGCATCCGTCCTACCGAGTGCTACGGAGTCCTACGGTCGAAAAAGGATTCTCAATGATTCTGAGATGGTTAGTGTTTGGGTTCCTTCGGGTTCCTTCGGGTTCCTTCGGGTTCCTTCGGGTTCCTTCGGGTTCCTTCGGGTTCCTTGGTTGACCTGGCAGACGCCCCCCACGCACCCCGAATAAAACAGGCTCAAAAATCAGCACCTCTTCCAGGTAGCGTTTGCAGGGTCCATTTTAGTTGAATTTTGAGAGGGTACTGCTGTTTGGGAGGGCATCGTTGCCGGAACTTCTCGGCATCCAGGGACGGGTGTTTACAGCATCTTGAGCGATGGGGTGATTGTGCGGGTGCTTGTTAGTGGTCTTCAAGACATCCAGCAGTGATACACACACACACACCGCAAAGGCACTGTTCAGCATTCAGCACATTGAGGAAAGATTACAACGAGTTTAACATGTAGAACAGCTTTGTTTCATGCAGCTTGGTCACCAAGCCACGCACACATGAAGTCAGATGTCACAACATGTTACAACTAATCTGGTTATACAAGCAAACTTGATGTGTAATAACTTAAGTGTCATCAAATCATATCAAATCCATTTAGTCAGCAGATTCCTTTGCATTTGGCAGAGAGTCGGCCGCACGTATTTCGTCGCCATGTTTCAAGCCAGCAAGGTGACCTCTGGAAACGACCAAGTGACACTTGAGTTGCTGATGATTTCAGTACTCACTCGACGCTTGGAGTGACGACCGGGTGTCACACGCTCGAAGGCGTTTCCTTGGAGTGCCATGGTCCAAGACCTGGGCAGCATGATCATGTGAATCACGCACTTGTGGAACCCACAGAAACTGAGATGGACAGAACGCCAGGGTTGTGAACCCTGGCCTGCAAACCACATCGATCGTGAAGCCGCCGTTTGTTCTATGCTTGGTTCTTAAATGCGCAGACTCCTTGCCTGCAGACTACACCAATGGTGAGGGCGACACCTTGTTTGAATTTGGCCCTCTCGCCACCAGGACCAGACTCTCTGTTGGCTTCTCATCTGAGACGTCGACCCAGAGACTTGCGAAGAGTAGGGCTTGATCAAGCATGTTTTTCACTTCACATCATTGTTCTCAAACCTTCGCAAAAATCGGGCTTGCAGAAGTGTCCGAAGCCCAAATCAAGCTTTTGCTAAGTTTGTTTAGCAGTGATTGACAGGCTACATAGGAACATGCTTTCCCCAATCCCTGCCAGTAAGGTCTTTGTCTTGTGGAGTGGACGTGGGGCCTCCGGCCAAAGCAACCAGCTGGACGCCGGACGCCAAGTCAAGCTGGTGGTGCTGCTTTCAACGCTTTGCTGTTTCTCTCACCCGGAGCCTCTTGTCCCAAACTAAGTTTTTTTTGCTTGCCTCCACTGAGCGGTTTATCGACAACTGTTTGAACAGAAAATGTCGTCACCACTGTAACTGTAGTGTCAGTCACAGTCTTCGGCTGCGCACAGGGCCTGCTGGCCGTTGCGGTGGTGCACATCTCGCCAAAAAAGGTGAATCAAATTAAATCTTACGATCCTGCAACCTCATTTACTGATGAGGGCTGGGCCCGGAGGGGGTTTCAAGAACGTCCCTCCAAAGTAGGCACCGCAAAAAAGACACATGAAGCCAGAGAAGGCTCAGGGTTCAGAAAAAATCGAATTAAATCTTTTGCAAGTGAGTCGTTTTCAATCCTATCGTCATTTACTTTATACCAGGCTGTTTCATCCAAGACTGCGATTTGGAGGTGTCCGTGGACAACGATATGGGACGTCCAAAAAATGACGCCCCTGCTGTCATATATCCAATACACTGGAAGTCAATGTGCAAACTTCCTGCAAAACGATACCTACAGCAAAACGATGCAGGACATCACGTTCTTGAATCACGGATCTGCATCAGCCTACGGGCAGTGCCACTCGCCGACTCGCGACTGCCAACCGCGCGATTGAATCACGGGTGCCCTGCGGATCCAGCGCGCCAATGGACCTGTGGTAGTTCCGGTTGGAGGGTGGAGGCGGATGCACCGCTGTCGTCGGCATCTTGGGTGCGCACGCACCGGAAAGCGGCCATGGCCGGAAGGTGGCTCACACAAGCACGCGTGGAAGCTGAAGCAATTCTGCGGAAAGAAGGAATGGCATGATGGGGGCTTGGGGGGAGAGGGTTTGGCAGCAAAGGAATGCTTTGTCAAACATTATTTGCAAAGCTTCTTGAATTCAGTGGAAGAGTTTGCAACCCTGCATGCCTTCGACACACCAGAGGAGAATGACTTAGCTGCTTTGGTTTCGTGATGTTTCGTGGGTTCTATTCAGGTGCCGAGTGTGCATCGGCCTGATCTGCTCACACATTCACAGGTCTTGCGAGGAACCCATCGTTTTGTGCTCGTGAAGAGAGGACCTGAGATACTTGGGAGTCTTTGAAACGCAACATCGTTGACATGTCGCGTTGAATCCGGGTCGGATCTTAATCATCCATGTCCGTGCTTTCTTGTCGCAACTACAGCAATGGTGTCCCATTACCTGAAGCAGTCGATAAGTGTTGACTATTTTTGAGAAAGGCCTTTACAGACCATCATCCGCTGTCACAGGGAATGAGATATACCCAAACTGCAGCGATGGTATCCTCCGCCTGGCTCTTCACAGTTGGCCTTTTGGTGCCAATTGGCCAGATCATCGAGGCTGAACCCTGAACTGTGAGGATCCCACGAAAGACCCAAGCTTGGTTCCCACATTTTTGTACGACCAATTAGACTCTGATTAGACCAGATCCGTGTGTCTTCATGGTTAAGTCTGCGTTTTACTTGCCCACAGATTTGATCGATAGCTATCCGATAGCTCTCTTTTTTGAGCATTGCTAGGTCAGCTCTGACTTGGCTGAGCCACGTTTGGAAAGACTGCAGCTGCCATTGAAGCTGGCTGCAGTTGGCAGCTCTTCGTGCTTGGTGGGTTACACTGCGGTCAGCTATTGCAAGTCTGCACGGTGCTTTGTGTCCAACGCTGTCAAGGAGCCCTTGCTTGATGACTAGCTTAAGCCGTGTGTGTAGCAGCTTCGAGGAATGTGTAGCATCTCCTCCCCTGCTGCCGGTTGACACCACCAACCTGTCCCTTGCTTGTGACATCAGTCACGCTCCAGTGATCAAATACCTTCGTGCATGTGCGTGGCAAGACGTACGCCCGCGTGCTCAGCACACCGCATGAACAGCGCCACTCGCGCGCATATGCTTAGGCTTCTTAGCGCTTCGTCACTGCATGGGGGGTTGCTAGAGACTGGATTGGTGGCTCGCCGGTGGCCTCACAGACAGAGAGAGAGAGGGAGAAAGAGAGTAGCAGCTGTCACCACAAAGAGGACAGGCTGCTTACCTACTCAGTCAACAGCCTAAAATCAGCAAGGGACATGGACGCTAGTTGATTTGGGTGTAGATTGAGATTTGCTAAGATTTGCTAAGCAACCCCAATAAGTATCAAAAGAACATCGAAAATGTAGACCCCGCCCTTGAGCCGCTTCAGCCCAAGGATAGGACAGCGCTGCTTTAGCCGCTTGTGTTCGGTGACAGCGTCGCCTTGACGAAAGGCAGATCACCGCAGGTTTCGGCCGGTGCGTTTGCGGCCACGGCCCTGTGCACTTTTGCGACGTAAATGCCGTGACGTATTCGTGGTGTGTGAGAAGGCCAAGGGCGCGAATAAATCAGTCGAGAAAGCCCATACTGCTCAAAGAGCAAGCATTGCGTCCGTGGAACATGGTCCAAGCCTTATAACTTCAATGTGTCGGCTTCTGGAGACGGCTCGCTACCGTGCGTTCTCGATTCGCGGTTCACCTTCTAAGGCCAGGAGTGAAAGGAACCGAGCGAAACGCGGAGGCGCGAACCGCAGACTTGTCCATGTGAGCAAGCAGGACAAGCATGGACAAGCGGTGGGCCATGACACCCGGGAGACACTCGGAACGAAAACCCGGGTTGACTGGGTCCAGTAGTCAAAACCAGATTCATGTTCGGTGAGAAAAACCCAGGTTCCCTGGCTTTGATCTGCCATTTGACCAGTTGAAACACCTCGAGAGCCTCAACTGCTTCGCCTGGCAAAGACTTGCACGTTCCGCAGGCGAAGGCGTAGGAAGAACCCCCACAGCCCCAGTCAAACACATACACCATGTGGCATGCGGCATGGGCTGTTAAATGGCAGCCACATCAACCAGTGCCCTCGTGCCGCCGTGCCGTTTCACAAGCGCGGCCAGCCGCAAAGCCCTGAAAAGGCCCAAAGAGGATATATTGAATAGGCCAATGCATGAGACACGTGCACCTCAATTGGCATCGTTAGTGCAAGTACCGTTCAAATGAATTATATATTAGTTCCCGTACCTCACATTAAACATCCCAAAGGGCATTTGATGCGTAACGGCCGAGTTGCATGAAGTCTCAGACACTGCGGACCTGCGCAACCACGGTGTCATATGGATGTGCCATTCTCCTCGACCTCCGTCCTGCGCGCCCAGTGGTTGCAGGTGTTTGAAGCTGTGGACGTTCAGGGCCAGAGCCGGTGAACAGAGCAGATGGCGATCATGTACCCCAAACTTCAGGGCCATGCCGAGCCAGAGGGCTGGTGTGCCAATTTGCGAGTGCCTGGTGCCTAAAGGAAAGCATGCCATCGCTTTGGGTTGAAAAGAACATTCAAACGCCATGCCTGACATTTGTACAGAAGTCACTGCTGCAAGTTGTTGGACAGCTTGGTATAATTTCATGAGTCGGTATGTCCCAGTTTCGCTGCCGACACATGAGCAACTGCCAAAACCTCCGATGAAGGCAGCATCACTATAGTGAAGACTAAGTACTGTAAGTAAAGTGAAGGAAACCTTCAGGAACGATAAGGTTCACAGGAAAAAACATGATAAGGTTTTAGTACGTGTTGTTAGGTGTGTCCAAACCCTCAAGAACGATAAGGTTCACAGAGAAAAACGATAACGTTGGGAAGAGTGAGCACTACAACACATAAGAGGTATTACAGGTCGCTCACATGGTCTTGGCGCCAGGATCAGCTAAACTTGAGGAGTCAACAACTGCCATTAATTCCTCTTAACCTTCACGTTTGGTCTTCGTTCGTTGTGGCTCTGTGATGCTCTGTGTGCAGCTCAGATGCAAGCAGAGTTCGTTCAGATCATTGACAGCTTACACCTTGAATGACCGCGGCCTGGCCGGCAATGCTTAGCGGTTTGGTGCTCAGTGGCCGAGCCGGCTCGCAGACTGCAGTGAGTGCAATGAGCCGTTTTTTTTTTTTTTTCGGATGGCAGCGGTCGCCGGCTGAACAAGCTTCATTCGGGGCATCTGAACTGGACCATGTTTGCGTAGCAGATGTTACGGTAAAAGAAGAGGTATACTATAGTAATTGACGAAATACCTGAACCATCGAGCCCTTTAACCACGCTGCCAGTCCGCGGTGATGCGCGTTTCCGGATTCCGCCGCTTACTTGAGCCGCTTCGACATGGCCGTTCCGGCGAGGAAAAACCCGCTGAGCACAGCAGCAAATCACAGAATGATGCCCGACTAGCGCCGGGTTGTCTTGATGTTGCTAGCCCATGAAGCTGGGCCCGGTCTCTCACTGATAGGCTTCACGTGTGTGTCCTGGTCGCGGGTTTCCACATAAATCGTGAAGGTAGGACGCCTTGCCAGACTCATCCAAGAAGTTGTTGCTGGCACATTATTGCCGCTTGAAGATGTTGGGTGCTCCTGTGCCAGGCTCCGTACCCCACACGCAAGCGCCAGCTTGAGTAATCACAGTGTGTCAGTGTGGTGTGTGTACATGCCTTTGTGCACTTGAGTAGTGGTTTGCAGAATCCTTCACCCAATGCGCTGAAATCAACGCCGAACAGAGCAAGTAGGAAAATGACTGCAAGGTCTTTGCTCCACCTTTGGTTCCTGTGTTCAATATCACTTGTTGTATTGTACCAACAATGCTCGCAAAAGCAACCCCTGAGGTCGGAAAAGGTTCCACCATGATCCACAATTTACTGACGTTAAATGGCCGACCTTGCCTTCAACCATTCAACGCATGTCCACAGGCGTGACATTCATGTTTTGATGTGCAATCAGCATGGCCCTTGTCCTGGATATGCCAGAAGCTCTATATTATATAGTTGTGGGTGAGTCATTCAAGTACCGGGTTCACTCAGCTTCTTTGCCTTAGAGGGGATTTTCCACATTAATGCGCTGGTCGTGATATTGTATCAGTGTTTGTTCGACCGACGACTGCATTTGTTGAATACGTTTTGCAAGAGTGGCCCTTTGGAATGGCAGTTTTTGCCCTTGTTGTTGCCGTGTGGTCAAGATCAAATCTACAGCTGTTTGTGAGATGTTGTGAGCCTCATTGGAGGCTGCCAAGCTGACTGTTTCCCACTTGGCGTAAGAACGTCGAACTTCAAAGCGAAGTAGTAGACGGTTTGAGCAGGATTCCTCAGACTGGATGTTGCTTGATGTATATACTGGGCTTTATGTTTGTTCATGCAGCTTTCTGTTGATGCAGGAGGTTCTGCAAATGGCCACTGGAGAAGCTGCTGGACAGTGACAGTGGCAAACCAGCTCCATGCTACATTTGTCACCAGCTCCATGCGTGAGGAATAAACATCTCGGGTCCCGCCGTAGGTTGCATGATATGCCTGATATGCGGCCCTGCTGCACAAGGTTGGCATCGGCGGGGCAGCGGATTTTGTGACGCACCACAAAACCAATGCAGTCGGCCCAGAGAACTCGAATCCCAGAACGAGCTGTTTCTGCAGATCCTTTTTGGGATGGTCATCCGGCAAAATCGTGGAGACCACCGAACGTTCGGATTCCTCGGATGATCACGGGTCATCTTTTCGGCCCTGCTATCCACGTTCGCCCATAATGATTCCCGGGAGTGTACTGGTTGCCCAGCTCCTTTGCTGCTCGCCCAGGCCTTGCGTGGACCATCTGATTGCAGCTGCGCGATGTTCAATGCGTTGTGCCGTTGGCGTGCCAGCATCCTTCGGGATGGCGGCGGCCAAGATGGAATGCTTTGGCCGGTTACCACGGTGTACAGCTTCAGAGATCTTCCAGTCTTGGCAAGGCGTTTGGCAAGGCCGGGTGGCATGCAGATACACAATCGATTTCGCAGCAGGTTGAATCAAGCGGACTTCCCCATCACGTGCACGCCTGCTTGAGCCAACGTGGGAGGAAAGGTGCCCTAAACCTTTATCATTATAAGTTTGCTTTCTCCCAGATATCGCAGAGGGTGTTCGCATACACCCGTTTGTGCTATTGTTCAAGTTCAGTAAAGCGTCAAGAGCTCAAACATTGAGGGATTGTAGATTGTCGAGATGTTGCACAGCAAACCTCAACAAAATGAGGCGAGACTGAGACACAGGTAAACGGCCAGGTTCTTGAACAGACAAACCAATCCTGTGCCGTGGAACTGCTTGCTGGTAAGTGAGACCTTTCTGATTCTGGGTGAAAGCGGCTAGAGCCATTCCAAAGCAAAGAATATGGATGAGTGCATTGCTGCCTTGTGGATTCGCTCCGACTCTGACCCAGGATTGTGTTTGGCAGTCTTGTGGGACTAAAAGTGGTGTGCCAAAAGCTGTCAAGGGTCAAGCTGCAGCAACATCAGCCTTTCGGCCGCTAGCAGATTCGTGCGAAACGATGCTGATATGTGCTGCTGGCTGGGCTTCCTGTTGGTCAAATCCTACACAGCGGCCTTTGATTTGGAGTCAACTCAAGCCTGCAAAATCGGCGTGCGTTTTGCAACCTTCAGCGTCCAGTTTTGTTGAAACCCGTTTGCCTTGCAACGTCATGGCAATGCAACCCCAGAGGTCCTCCAGGTTTGTTAGGCCTTTGGGCATGTTACAATTACTATAGCTGGTTAGACCAAGTGGACTTCCCCATCGCATGCACACTCGCGGACTTGGCTGACTCTGCCGGGAAGAATCCCAGATATTGTAAAGGGTTGTCGCACAAGCGCCTTTGTGCAGCTGTGCAAGTAGAGCGTCACGAATTCAATCTAGGCCGTTGTGGGAATATTGCACGTCAAACATGATTAGATTTCAGTGAGAAAGTGGTAGCTTAACGCACTAATCCTCTCCTTGCTGGTAAGTGAGACTTGTTTGGGCATGTTTGGGCCAAAGCGGCTAGAACCACTCCAAAGTAGAACCATTCGAAAGCAAAGACAATGGATGAGTGCACTGCTGCCTTGTAGATTCGATCCGACTCTGACCCAGGATTGTGTTTGGCAGTCTTGTGGGTCAAGGGTCAAGCTGCAGCAACATCAGCCTTTCGGCCGCTAGCAGATTCGTGCGAAACGATGCTGATATGTGCTGCTGGCTGGGCTTCGCGGTTGTTTCTCGCAAACTTGGGGGCTGAAATTGACCCGAAACAAACCAGATGCAGGAACACGGGCTTGTGTGGAAAACAGGCTGAACCTCAACCGGCTTGTCTTATTTAAGGCTCCAATTTCCGGAGTTTTATCCAGCCTGGCCAACCTGACACTGCCCAAGATGGCGGATATTGAACGTCCAGAGAGGCTAGACAGTACGAAGTGAGCCTATGTCGGTCATTCGAGTCGTGGTGCAAGATCAGATGTTTGCCAGATCCGAGGGTTTTGATATGTTTGTTTTGACGTGTTCTCATCATGACTTGCACAAAAGAAGCTTGGCGTCAATGTTTGCAGGTCTCCACTGACCACCAAAAAGATTGGGAAGTAAGTGGTGGTTTGCTTGACCTTGGTGTATCTTGGGAAAGCTTTATGGGAAAGCTTAAACTTCTCATGTTCAGGTGTAGTTGAGGAGGATGGGAAGGTGTAGGACATTGCTCCTGACCAAAACATTGGACTTTGCCAGCTGGCAGCCTGAGCGCTAGGTTGCCAGTTTAAGTTATAGTCATGCTTGGTCAACAATCCGTGCGACAATCCAATAAGCGTAAAGCCGAATATGAGCAGTCGTGCTGTGGGCTCAAGCGCCGGCGCGGGGTGTTTACTTACTTTGCACGAGCCCGGCTGGCGACGTAGGCGGCACCCGCGACGCTCCGCCAATCAAGAAGCCGACACGGGTGATACCGATGGAAATATGTTTGCCTTTCGTTGCCTCCTCGTGGCTCGATGTTCCACACCCTTGGAATGTTCCACACCCGTCGAAACGTCGACACTCCTTTTTTCTTCCTTCTCGAGGACACTGGAGACACCTGTTCGGACACCGGTCCGCTAGTCCTGGGTCCGGGTGTCGCAGATCCGTGCGCGGGGGTGGGTGGGTGCTGAAGCGGGACGGACCGTTCCGCAGGTCCAATGGATCGATCCAATGAGCACTCCAGACCTGCACGATTTACTTGGAGCAGGCGCCTTGCGGTCGGTCGACCGTTCCACCGAGGTTCCGTGACACGGTGCCGGGAGGTCAAAACGGACATGACCTGTTTGACGAGCCCCCAGACACGACCCGTCTGGGACTGCCATAGGACTGCCGATCAGTTGGGGTGGTTTGAGGGGTCAATGTAGGCAATATGGCATACATGGAGTGTTTGACCATAGATGTTGTAGATTGAAAGGGCGGAATGGGCTTCAGGCAATCCAAGCCGTTTTCTTTCAAGAATAGATCGATCAATGTTCAAGGGAGGATCTCAAGACTAACATTTGTTTGAAAGGTGGAACGGAAGAGTTAGCACCGCAAAGCAGCTAGCTCTCGTTTGCTTCTCAACACCTTTGAACGTGACAGGAGGCTACGGTGGTACACCCAAATATCCCAAAATCACTCAAAGTTGTTGCATGATGTGCCTGAGAGTTTCATCAGACCTTTCTCATTTCTTCTCCTTTGCCTATCGCAAGGGTGTAATTAAACCATATTAAAACTTTTGAAATGTTACTGGTGAGGGTGGAGAAGATTACCTCCTGCACTTCCTCGTGGGGAACATCCCGCCTTCACAAGCGTCCGTCGTGAGGCTGTTTCACCGCGCCCAGGTCGGCCTTCGCCAACTCTGCGAGCCGAGTGAGCGACGTGAGCGACGAGCTCAGCGTGAGGAGTCCGATCGGATTTGTGGGAGACGACCCAAACGGCCCTAAAGCGTACGGCGTAGATCACAAGTATAAGGTACACCATGGCATTTACTTTACACTATACAGCATAAATAACTAAATAAACAAAACAACATAAATATATATATATATAATATAAAGCTTTAGATACTATACCTATAGTATATATATATATATATACACATATTTATACATTGTATATTATAGTTATACATACCTGGACCTTGGAAACGGCACCAATATAATATAATGTCGACTCGATGTAGGATTAATAACCCCCCTTCAAGGTCAACTAGGTCAACAAGGTTTGAGATTGAAGGTATTGGAGACCACATCCCCCTAATAAAGATGATGACCTGATGATGGATGATGATATGACAAGATTAGGACAGATTAAGATAATTGGGATGATTAGGAAACAGATTAAAGAGATTGGAAGACAATATTATTCTTTCTTTGGTTTGGGATGATTTGCAAAAGGAAGAGGATAGCAGGATGAAAGAGATGGAATACAAGATGGAGGCCAGAGGGTGGGCTTGATTAATAGGGGGAGGGGCCCAAAATTGGATGGAATCTGGAGTTCAAAGGGCTTAACTCCAGATTCCATCCAATTTTCACTAGTGGTCACTGCCACTTTTATGTGGAATGAATCTAGAGTCAACCCTTCCTTTCCTTTGCCCGTATTTTGGAAGAGTTGTGATTTGGATTTTGTTTGTTTTTGCTTGTCAGCTTCAATGCTTCAGGGCTTGATTTCAGGGTGAGTCCACTGGTGCTGTGACAGCAATGAGTTGCTGTATCTTTGGAGTTTGGCTATGTTGCTGCTCTAGCGAGTGAAATCTGGAGGTATCATGACTATGGTAGGTGCACTTGGCAGCTCACTTTTAGATTTCAGCTGTTACAAAGCGGCTTCTCAGGGAAGAACAGCTGGAGGTAATCTGATTGTGGTACATTCATATGGCCCATATGGCAGCTTACTTTCTGATTTCATTACTTTTCGGGCAGGTTCTTCCGTAGTGCCTTCAGAGGTGGCCTCAGTGAGATGTCACGTCCCCACACCTGGGGGGACGAGTTGACCTTGTGTGCATTGCGCACCTCCTTCTGCGCCCCATAGTAGTGCTTTCTGATCAAGAGCATTGAAAATGAAAGGCAAGTTGAACCGCTGCCCTTGGTCCATTCATCTGTGTGGGGGCCTGAAGGGGATCTGGAGTCAACCCTTGTGTGACTCCAAAATCCATCCAATCCTGGAGGGGGCCCCTACTATGTTGAGGGGTGCCCGGTACCCTTTGTGAGCTTGAAAACCTTAAGATCTTGATTGAGCTTTAATAAGTGGACGAATCTTGCTAGCGAGTTTTTCGGTGTTTTGACAGAGAAGGATGAGAAAAACAGCAGGATGAGAAGCAACACGATGATGAGAATGATGGATGAGTGGACCAGGAGATTTTTCATACTAGTCAAAAGAGAGTAATAATATAGGATTATAGTTATAATAGTATTTCTTTTCTGGTGGGGGAGCTGGGCTTGATTAATAGGGGATTACTTAATCCTAGGTTGACACTAAATAGAAAGTCACCTTTTGAGGAACATGTGGGAAACGGTGTCGTTTCCCTTTTGTAGGCGTCCAAACGGCGGCGTTTTTCCCCGATGGATCTCGAGCACCTGTTTGCAACCCTTGAAACGGCATGTTTTTGATTACGGCGGGTTTTTGTTTGAAAATGCCTCCAGCAATGTAGTATACATATCACACGCCACCACATTTAAAACGAAGGATCCTCCACCTGCAATCACCTGCAGGTGTTGTTGCATGTTGTCACTGTTGAGTTTTTATTGGTCCCCTCCCAAGAATTTTCTCCGGATGACTTTTGCAAAGCTATCAAGGTTACCAAGAAGGACAAGGCCCAAGATTGCAATCGATATTTAACTCTTTCAACAGACTCATCATGTTGGCAGAGGAAACATTTGAACACTTCATCATGCTCTCCTTATCACGGGACGTTTCAAAACGAACGTTCTGAGTGGCGAACAGTCGCAGTTCGCGTGCCCATCCCCCTATGCTTGGCGTGCTGGTGGTACATGTTCGGGAGGTAATTTGCATTGCCCAGGTAGGCAGTGAGCAAAGAATTAGGACAGTGTGTTCACTTCCAAGTTTCAAAGTAGCAGGGCAGCAGCAGCAGCAGCAGCAGCACAGAATGGATACGGTTTGAACTCTCTTAAGTTGAAATGCAGGAATTT